CGGCCATCGCGAATGCCAGACGAGAGATCGACAACGGACGATAAGAACTCCGGTTGGTCCTGAGAACTAGGACGCTGCATTGGGTCGGTCTGTGACCATAGTACTGGACAGGCTGGGCGTAACAGCAAATTAAGGAGGCCGCTAAGCAGACCGGGATCCTGACACTACTCAAAAGAAGCAGATTTGCAATATGATCGGCCATCGCGAATGCCAGACGAGAGATCGACAACGGACGATAAGAACTCCAATTGGTCCTGAGAACTAGGATGCTGCATTGGGTCGGTCTGTAACCATAGTACTGGACAGGCTGGGCGTAACGCCGTACCTAAAGCGGATCCTGCCTCTGAAGTCAACTGATCCGTGGTCTACAGATTTGCTTCGCAGCGGGCCCGTTTTGCGTGTGTATCGCGACTGCTTCGCGGCAGGAACGTTTCGCGTTTGCTTCTGGAGCGCTGTGCCTCTTGGGTGTTCTTCGCGTGTGCCACTCGGGCGCTCTTCTCGTGTGCCGCTCGGGCGCTCTTTCCGTGTGCGCCTTGGGCGCTCTTTGCGTGTGCGCCTTGGGCGTTCTTTGCGTGGGCCTCTTGGGCGCTTTTTGTCTTCGCATGCTTTACGTGTGTCATTCGCAGTATGTACTTCAAGATGAACCTCCTTGTGAGGGCAGTGACATATAAGAGCGGTGTACATGTATACCAGTATCTCCATCTTCACGACTCACAGCAACAGCCAACACGTTGTGTCCATAAGAGCTTTGCTATACCTTCAGTCATGGGCGATAGCTACCCGCATCGTTCTCAGCACATACCCGGGCACTCTTCGCTACCACCACAGGTTTGTCTTTGCCGTAAGGTAGTAACAATAGGGTGACTCATCATAAGCCAGGAAGCCCATGTGCCGGGCGGAACCCCTGCACCCTCATCGACGACCGGTAATCGTTACTCTGTGCAAGCGCAGGACCCGCGCCTTCTGGTAGCCATCCCGGTAGGCACGGCCGTCCCTGGCGCTACAGAGGCCCCCATTGGGTTGTATCAGCCTCCGGCTGGGATTTACAACACACAATCGTGGCCGGGTGAAGGCACCACCATGGCCCCTGAAGTATACAACAACAAGTGCGTATCGATAACCGCTAACTCGAATGAAGGAATCACGATGCTAATAGTATGTTCCTTGCAGTGTTGATCAGCCCAGCAATGACGTCCCAGCAACGATGGCTTACCTACACGACTCCACTTCGTATCACGCCACACCATACGCGCCAGTAGCGACGCCAGCTTATTCTATGGCGCCACCTCCAGTGCCTACGCGGCCACCCACCGCGTACTCGTCACGTGCAGTTCGCCAACGTAGCCGCGCCGGGCGCATGCTCTCGCGTGCCCGTGCCCACATCGACAGTGTCCACGAGAGCACCAGCGGAGCAGAGGTACATTGGTCTGAGGTAGACGACGAAGGGACGTGGGTATTGATGTTTGTACCCGCTCAGCGCGGCTGAATCTGGCGAAGAAGGTGGCCGGATGACCAAAGCAGTGTCTCCAGCAAGAACCTATAAATGAATGTAAGGCTGTACAGAACCTATGTATTCGGTCTTCCACCGATACGAATTGTCTGTGTATATGTGTATCAATATCATGGCTGGCTACGACTTAGAGTAGAGCTGAAGCGCTGAAGAAGCGGATGAGTTGAGGTCCTCGTGAGCCGGATCAGATGGGCGAGCCGCGAACTTGAGAGCTGGGACCCGACTTGTTGTTTAGGCGAGCTTTGTCGTAGAAGTCATGATGCACTTCACAACGCGCACGGGGATTCAACAACTGGTTCAGAGCATGACGGTGAAGGTTGGGGACAGAATGTTGACCCGCGGCTCGCGTTCTCAGACGCGCTTCGGGGACTCGGGCCGGGCGCTGGCCTCGCGGTATACGCGTTGCTCGCATCCGTTACAAGACTTGACCCGGGCTACCATCTTCCCCGATTCTTCCGCAGCAAGCTCGCCTACAATGTATGGCATCGTGTCCTCCTACAGCTCAGAAAGCTAATGAGCTCACACAGGTCACCTATCCAAAATCTGCCCGAAGATGTGCTTCATGACCTATTCAATTGGCTGTCGGTCATCGATCAACCTACTCTATTTTCGCCGTCGGTCATCGATCAACCTATAACCCTATTCTCGCCGCCGGTCATCGATCAACCTCCTCTATTCTCGCGCACCATCGGTAACAGACCCCCGCTCGTCAAGACGTCACTCGGCTGGATCACCGCAACGCACGTCTGTCGACGATGGAGGAGTTCGATCTTGAGCATGCCGTTCCTATGGGCTGCTATCGCTGGCGGCGTGTCCGCTTCACAACCGACATGCGAGACCTTCATCGAACGCGCGGGACAAGCCCCGTTGCACTTCTGGGAATGGCATCTTCGTCAGTTTGGACGAATAGAGTCTCATACAGACTATTCGGGAACTCCTGTGCGCAGCACAATCGCGCGGCTCACGCCTCGATATAGCGGTCGCCTCGAAAGGCTGGCGTTATACATCTCGGGACGTCGACAAACGGGTTACAATGGCGTGGTACCCGACGATGACGAGCTTGCCATTGTGGACGGTTGCTATTTTCCTCAGCTTAAGAACTTTTACTTGGAATCAGACGTCCTTCGTGTGCGATTTACTGCTGCATTCGAAGCTCCGAAGCTTGAAAGCCTTCATATGGATGGCATCTTCCTCGCATTCCGAGCGCCCGTTCTGCGCTTCTTGCGCATCAGCAGTCGTCAACTGGTATCCTTTGGAATAATGCTGGATAGCATTGCGTCTTCCCCGCTCTTGGAAGAACTTGAGCTCTACAATGTCTCGATGGATAACGCATCACCATTCCCACACTCTCATGAGATACGGCTACCTCGCCTTGCCGTTTTGCGCTATCAGGGAGAGCATACGCCGTTCCGACTGTTGCGAGAAGCTATAGATATTCCGCAAACCGCACTGCTATCGCTTGGTCTTTCGGGGACCACCGAGTCCGAACTCGCCATAATCGCATACGCTCGTGACTTCATTTCACAGCCTATGCACGATTCTCTAAGGCTCTCGTTCAGTGATGACGACAACCCTCAGACATTTCACGTCCATATATATCAATCAACTGCTGTCTCCCAGCACTCCGCGGCGAACGGGAGACGCTCCCGTTCCGGCGTACACGCCTACCTCCGAGTCCAGGCCATCTGGTCGCAGGCTCACAAGACACAAAGGTTGGTAGCGGCATTGCTCGCTGCGACAGAACTCGTTAACATACGCTACCTTGATCTCGACCGGATCGCCGGCGCAACCTTCGTAATTGAAGAGATGGCTATGTTCCAACGAGTTCTGCGAACCCTCACGGATGTCACATCTGTTTTTGTCGGGCGGGAGAGCGACCTGGACTTCGCGCACTGGCTTCTGTGTCCGAACGCCCCTGCCACCCCCCTCTTCCCTCACTTGCGCTCACTGGTTCTCAAACATCCTCGAGATACCATACCCCAATTGACGAGCAGCTCGTTGAAGGTCTTGTATGGTTTCAATGGACCGAGACAGCACATTAAGATGAAATGGAACGCTATCATTAATCTTTGCACGGACCTCCGTGAACGAGGAGTTCCTCTCACACACATCTATATGACTACGTATAGCGCTGCGGAGATCGACTGCGACGATGTTCAAGTTGCGCTAGATGTACAGGAGCGATGTCTCGAGCGTGTTCGGGGATTGGTCGAGAATGTTGTAATCGTTGAACCCGTAGACCAGTAGGACAGACCTCAGATGAGAGTATGTAGACGTAGTGCATGCGTTGCATGAGTGCCGTATATGCGATGTTTGTCTTCGGCAATCCTACGATGACGCAGACTGATCAAGAACCGAATATTACCCGTCGACGACGGAGATCACTTTCACATTGGCCGTGTCGAACCGGTGAAGGCATTGGCAACCTCGACAGAATCAGACCGTATATAGCTGCAGAGAAGGCTGGAGAGGCCGTCTGAGTAACAACCATAACGAGCCGATGAGACGGAAACGCCCAGGGCCATTACAGTACTCGCCTTCGACACATTATGATGGATTCCCGCGTGCGCACGTGCGATTGGGGCACCGGCCCGGGAGGTGCCTCGCGCCTCGCACGCGTTCTCTACGGTTGACTTAGACAATCATCATCGTCCTCGATACCTCCAACACAACCTCCCGTATGATGTATGTCAACTCAATGTCTCACATAACCAGCCCGTGAATGATATCCTTCAGGCTTTCTGTGGATCAGTTACCCGAAGACGTGCTTCATGACCTATTCGATTGGCTATCGGTGATCGATCAACCCACTTTGTTTATCGCGAACAGAGCCCCGTTGGTTGAGACCTCACTCGGCTGGATCACTGCCTCGCATGTATGTCGACGATGGAGGAGTTCGATCCTAAGCATGCCGTTGCTATGGGCTGCTATCGCTGGCGGCGTGTCTGCTTCGCAAGCGACATGCGAGACCTTCATCGAACGCGCCGGACGAGCCCCATTGCACTTCTGGACCTGGCATCTTCAGCACTTTGGGCGGATAGAGTCTCATCCGGACTATTCAGTATCTCCTTTACGCCGCATGGTCGCACAGCTTACGCCTCGATACCGCGATCGTCTCGAGAGGTTGGCGCTATACATTGCATCAGGTCGGCGGATGAGTGTCGATGGCGGGATATCCGACCAGAGGGACCTTGCTATCGTCGAGAAATGCTCCTTCCCTCAGCTCAAGGATCTCTACTTGGAATCGGACGACCATCATATACGAGTTACTGCTGCATTCGAAGCCCCAAAGCTCGAAAACCTGTACATGAATCAAATCTTCCTCGCATTCCGAGCGCCCATTCTGCGCTTCCTGCGCATCGACAGCCGTCAAGTGGTCTCTTTTAAGACCTTGCGGGATGGCATCGCGTCTTCCCCGCTCTTGGAAGAACTTGAGCTTGGGCTCTACAATGTCTACGATCTGGTGGATGATGCATCGCTGCCTCCAAACTCTCACAAGAAGATACGGCTTCCTCGTCTTGCCGTTCTACATTATCACGGAACGTGTCAGCCTTTTCGACTGTTGCGAGAAGCTATAGACGTTCCAACGACCGCGTTATTATCGATGGATCTTTCAGAGACCACCCAGGCCGAAGTCATATTTCTATTCACATACACTCGTGACTTCATTTCACATCCGAAGAACGATTCTTTGAGGCTCTCGTTCACTGATGACAACAACACCAAGACATTTCATGTCCAAATTTATCAGTCGACTGCTGCAGCCCAGCACGCCACGGCGGACGGGATGCGCTCTCGCTCCGGTGTATACGTCTACCTCCGAGATAGCGGGATCTGGCCGCGAGGTGATGAGATACGGAGCTTGATGACAGCTCTGCTCGCCGCGGCAGAGCTCGGTAACATACGTTACCTTGATTTCGACCGGATCTCCGACGCATGCTTCGAAACTGAAGAGATAGCCATGTTCCAACGAGTTCTGCGACCCCTCACGGATGTCACATCTGTTTCTGTCGGGCGAGAGAGCGACCTGCACTTCGCGCACCGGCTTCTGTGTCCGGATGCCCCTGCCAGCCCCCTCTTCCCTCACTTGCGCTCACTGGTTCTCAAACCTCCTCGAGATACCATACCCCAATTGGCGAGCAGCTCGTTGAGGGTCTTGTCTGGTGTCGATGGACCGAGACAGCACATGGAGACGAAATGAGACGCTGTCGTCGAATTGTGCAGGGACCTCCGTGGACGGATGGTCCCACTCACGCACATCTATACGACTACGTATAGTGCGGCGGAACTTGACTGCGACGATGCTCAAGTTGCGCTAGATGTACAGGAGCGATGTCTCGATCGTGTGCGGGGATTGGTCGAGAATGTGGTAATCATTGGGCCAACGGGCCGTTAGGTTGATTGTACTTGGTGATTTGACTCCACTTTCAGTAATCGAATACGCTGTTCATCAGACCCTTTTGTCTCTCCAAGATCGAATGAGCTCTTTATCTATGGTAGGGAAGCTACGATGTCGCGAGAAAGGCGTCCGGCGTGGGAGCAGTCCCCGAGATAGCCCGAGATGGCGCGAACGCGCGTCGGGGATTGCGCTCACTACTCCCTTCGCTGCGAACCAGATTTCCTAGATGGGACCGCGTGTCGCGCGTAGTATGGTCAAGGGAGGAGTCCTGCTCTATAGCTCTATACAACAATACACACACAGAAGTGACAGTCATGAGCGAACCATCGATGCGTGCGCCCTGTTGGCGCACCCACGACTAGGAAGAGCATAGCAGAGCGAGAAATGGGAAGCAAGAAAGAGAAGAAGAGAAGAAGAAAGGATGAACGAAAGAATGAAGTATGTACGGGTATTAATGCAACAGCGACGAAGAGGATAAAGATAAGGGTATGCAGCCGAAGAAAAAGCCAAAACGTATCCGTCACCAGCCACCACCACCACCACTACCACCACCACCACACCGTCCCTCACTCATACCACTCGCTCCTATACAAACTCGCACTCCGCGGCGGACTCGAATACCCCGACGTCGATCCCGCGCCGGACGTCTTCCTCGGCGTCCTCAACAGCACAGGAACAGGATAACTCGCGCTCCGCTGATGCCCCTCCAAAAAGAACGGCCTCACAGGGCTCGTCACGACATCCGGATACTCCGCCGAATAAGGATGCGGCGCGTACCCTCCTCCCTCCGCCGACATATCCGAGCGCGAACTCGACGTCGACAGACTCGGACTGCGACTCGGAGTGGAGTTGGAATGGGGGAGCGCGACGAGCCGCGGGTTGCGCTCCGCGATCTGCTGGAGCATCTTCGAGCGGCGGCGCTGCTCGGCGACGAGCTCGAAGCCGGGCGGGAGCACGCTCGCGCGCTCGGGCTTGCGCAGTTTGCGGGTCACGTCTTTCCAGAGGCCGACGAGGCCGCGGGAGGGGCGGCGGGCGTGGCGGCGGTTCTGCGGGGCGCTGCAGGAGGTAGTTGGTGGTTAGTATTGGATTGTGATGTGGGGGAGAGGGAGAGAGGGAGACGTACTAGCCGAAGTCGAGGTTCGATTTGTGCGTTTCGTCTTCGAAGGGGACGAGGGGGCCGTAGATCCGCAGGGAGGACTCGGAGCTGGATGTTGAGGGCGTGCCGGACATGATGGTGCTCGGTCTTCGTTCAAGTGCCGAAGCGAGGAGTGGTGGGTAGTGGCGAGATCCCGGGCGTCCGGTGGTAGTACAGCGAACACAGACGAAGACGAAGACGAAAGAAAAGAAGAATCCGAAAGAGGCCGTGCGGGTGTGCGCCCTAATACGTTGCGGGGTTAAAGAGCTCGTTGGGCCATAGCGTCGAGGATCTTATACGATAGGTCGGGAGAGCGCACAACGGCAGAGCTCGCACGGAGGTGTCTGTGCTTCGGGCATTGACACAGGACGAGGACGCGCACTCGTGCCGCTCGCAGTGAGCGTGGATGAGCACATGGTCGGACCGGATTGGCCGTGGGCGTGTCGATTATTGATGGGATCCTCGAGGCTTTGGGCGCTCGAGTTCGGACGTGCGGCGCGGGTGAGCCGAGTACTATATACGACCTGTGCAAGCTTCAGCATACAATCATGAATGGACAAGAGGCTCTCGATATGCCTTGCAGCATCCCGGCGCGGTATACGAGAGAGGGTGCTCACACTGCCGAGCGCGTCGTGTCGTCACCGCGCAGTCTGCCGTGCCCGACCCGCAGATGCGTTCATGGTTTGGGTTGTAGAAGCGTGGGCGTTGGGTGAAGATCTTGTTGGTGGGGTAACGTTGGTCGATCATGGTTGCCGTACTTGCTTCAGTGGACTATAGGCATTGATTCCCGAGCAGTAAGCTTTTGGTAGACGCCTGCAAGGCGTGCTTCCTGGCAGCCGCGGCTCGCATGTACGACGAAAGACGTGTTCAAGTCGGGAGATAGCACTCTGGGACATGGTCATGTCTGTGGTAAGGCATTCGTCGAGTGCAGCGCTCAAGTCTACCAGGAAGACTTGACTGGTGAGACCCTCAGCCAACCAGTGCAGTCCGCCTTCCGCCGACCGATAAGGTGAGGTACATAAGCGCCAGTCTTCTGAAGCCCGCCAAATCTTGCACTGCGCGTGGTAAGTATCCAAGAGAGCCCAGAGCACTCGTTCGCGTCATGTCGCTGGGGCAAAGCCGAGGGTGCGGGATACGTGTAGGTGGCCGATCATCAATTGGTAGGAGCGTGACTTGCCGGTATGTTGCTTGGGTGTTCGGTCCGATGTACCGTAGGGTGCACTTCAGTCAGTCATGCGGTAGAGTATCGTGAGGCTTCATGACATGTATAGAGTATACGGACGACCTCGTCGCAGAACATGGCGGCGCAGAACAACTCGCAGCGCACCCATCCGACCGCGCGAATCCCATCGCCACGAACCGTGGAAATTTTGGTAAACTTCCCCTCCTGCGCTCTCGCCTCTCGCCTTCGCCACAGCTCTCGTCCAGCCATGCCGCGCGGCGTACTCCGCACCGCGAACCTGCCGCAGCTGCAGAACCTCATCAAGCGTGACCCGGCAGCGTACAAAGAAGAGTTCCTGCAACAATGGAACCACTATAACTCCACGCGCCAGATCTTCCAGATCAGCCCGGACGAGCAGGCGGGGCATTTTAGGGAGTTGGTCTCGTTTATTGCTCAGGTAAGACTATCTATGTCAGAAATTTACATGGGGTCTGATCTGTGGATGTAGGTCGCGCAATGTTATCCGAAGGAGACGGCCGAGTTTCCGGCGCATTTGTCGACGCTGTTGTTGGAGCAGTATGGATCGCTTTCGCCCGACATGAGGCATATTCTGGTGCAGAACCTCGTGATGCTCAAAAACAAGGGCGTCATTACATCTATCGAGTATGCCTGTCTCTCATATTGCTTTAAGTAACTACTGACAGTATTATAGACTTCTCAAAACGCTGTTCCCCCTCCTCCCGCGCACGACGTCCTCCTCGCTGCGTTCCTTCATCCGCAAAACGATCCTGACGGACATCAAAACGGCGAACACGCGCGCGAAGAACCACAAGCTGAACCGGGCGGTGCAGGCGATGCTGTTCGGGATGGTCGAGCACGGCATGGACGGCGTCGTCGCGGGCGACAAGGGCAAGCTCCGGAGCCAGCCGAAGAACACGCCCGAGGGGCTCGCCAGCAGCGGTGACGAGGCCATGTGGGCTGTTGTTCTCACGAAGGAGCTCTGGAAGAAGGGCATCTGGGACGACGCGAAGAGCGTGTCGATCGTCGCGCTCGGGTGCTTTCATCCGGTCGCGAAGGTCCAGAGCGCGGCGCTGCACTTTTTTCTGGGGAGCGAGGAGGAGGAGGAGGACAGTGATGAGGAGGAAGACGACGTATGTTGCTCACGCTCCATTATTGAAGTTTGATATTGACTGGAGTACAGTTCGACAAGAAGGGTCTCGAGCACAGGCGCACGATCAACAAAAAGACGCGCAGTGGCGACAAGAAGATCCGCAAACAAGTCCAACAGCACAAGAACGTGCGCAACCCATCCTCTTTCTATCTCGCTCTATAACTAACCGACCCACAGAAAGTGAAACGCAAAGAATCCGAACGCACCGCCAACTTCCCCGCCCTCCAGCTGCTCAACGACCCGCAGACGTTCTCCGAAAAGCTCTACGACCTGCTCTCCAAATACGACGCCCGCTTCTCGCTCGAGCACAAGCTGCTCCTCATCCAGCTCATCGCCCGCGTCGCGTCAACCCATAAACTCGCCGTCCTCGGCTTCTACACCTACATCCTCAAGTACCTCACGCACCACCAGCTCCGCGCGCCGTCCATCCTCGCCGCGCTCGCGCAGAGCGTGCACGATCTGACGCCGCCGGATGTCCTGGTGCCGGTCGTGCGGAAGCTGGCGCACGAGTTTGTGCATCCGGGCGTGGGGCCGGAGGTCGTGGCTGCGGGCTTGAACGCGATTAGGGAGGTGTGCAGGAGGCAGCCGTGGGCGATGGAGGAGGATCTGTTGGGCGATTTGATAGAGTATAGGAAGAGCAGGGATAAGGCTGTCGTCGCTGCCGCAAGGGGTCTGCTGCAGCTGTTCCGGGAGGTCAATCCGGGGATGCTCAAGCGCCGCGAGCGGGTACGTGTCGCTCATTCTTGAACTCGGGATTGGGTTGCTGATTGTTTTCGCGGTTGTGTGTAGGGTAAGACGGCCGCGATGGGGCTCGCAGCGGGCGCACAAGCCCAAGCGTTCGGACACTCCCAGCAAGCAGCAGTCGACATCGACGGCCTCGTCCTGCTCGAAGACCATCTCGCCGCCGCGCGCGAGGACGGCGACGAGGATATGGAAGAAGACGACGAGAAGGCGTGGGCGAACTGGGAGGTTGAGACGGACTCGTCTGAGAGCGACAGTGAGAGCGAGGGGTGGATCGAGGTGGAGAGCGATGGGGAGGAGCTGGATATTTCTGATTCGGATGAGGAGGAGGATAAGAAGAGGAGGAAGAAGAGGAAGGGCGGGGAGGAGAGTGATGAGGAGAGTGAGGGCGAGAAGGAGGGCGAGGGTGAGGAAGCGAAGGCGGTGGAGGTTGAGGAGAAGAGGATATCGACGCTCGCTACGACCAAGGTACGTTCTGTCCCGCTTTTCTTACTCCCTCTCGGTATCTGACATATATATGCTTGCAGATCCTCACGCCGGCCGACTTCGCGCTGCTCAACGAGCTCAAACTCCAAGCAGCCGCCAAAGCCGTAGAAGCCGGCGGCGGCTCCACCGCAAAGCGCAAACTCGCCACGCTCGAAGCCGCGAAAAAGGCGAACCTGGACAACAACGCCGCCGCCGTCTACGTCTCCGAGCAAGACATCCTCGGCCCGCGGAAGCGGCAAAAGGCCGACTACGAAGAGCGGCTGGCCAGTATCGCCAAGGGGAGGGAAGGAAGAGAGAAGTTCGGGAGTCTGAAGGGGAAGAAAAAGAAGGAGACGCCGAGCTCGAGCACGAATCGGGAGAAGGCAAGGAATAAGCCTATTATGATGATTATGGGGAGTAAGGGGGTGAAGGGGAAGAGGAAGCAGAGTTTGAGGGAGAAGCAGCAGAGGCTGAGGGCGCATATTGATAAGGCTAAGAAGTCGTATCATTAGGTGGTCATCTGCCGTGTGGCGAGGACGGGTCTTTGGAAGTTTGTTGTAGTTCATTGGTACATTGCATCGGGTTGTTGTATACATCGTGGTATATTTCATAAGGAACCCTTGAGACGTTCTGCCATCTCGAGGCCTGTTGCGAAGTGGTTGAGTCGCGCGTCGATCATGAAGCCCTGTACACAGGTCAGTACGATCGCAGCGCACGACAATACATCCGGTCTGACCTTCTTCTCGTATTCTATGCGGTGTGACTGGTCAGCACAGTCCTCATCCGTAGACCACGAACGCACGGACCTTTTAACTCCTTATACAACCCCTTCAACTCGACAACCCTCTTCACAATCGCCTCCCCCTCATCCAGCTTCTGCTCCGGATACTCCAACCCATCCTCCAACAGCACGTCCACAGTGACCAGTTTCATATTGGCGGTCGTCATGCCGGGATCGCTGGCGAGGATGGAGGAGGACTCGAGGACGGTGGTGCTCTTGTAGCCGGTCTCTTCTTCGAGCTCGCGCAGGGCGGCTTGTTCGGGCGATTCGGAGGCGTCGACGAGGCCCGCAGGGAGTTCTGGGGTATATGGTGAGTTAGGAGGAGATGGGAGTGGAGGGGGAGGGGAGGGTACCGATAATGAAGGCGTCCATTGGGGGGCGGTATTGTTCGATTATGACTGTTGAGGCAGGGAATGCGTTGATTTTGGAGCGGATAACGGCAAGAATGGCGACGGCTGAGATTCATGATCAGCTATATAGGCCACACCTAATGTAAGTGTCAGTCAGACCATCTAGTCCTGAAGATCCTCTCGTTCGCCTCTCAGCGACCTCCCAGACCCTCTACGCAGCATCTGTCAGCGATCAGACGAGAGTGCGGGTTCCATGCGCACCTCCCGACCGGTATGGTCCTTCCAGTTCAACTTCTTCAAGCTGACCCACCTATATAAGCGCTCAGCAGCGCGTTCATGCTACTACCACGATGATCGTTCAACTCACTTCGCATCGCGACCCTCCAGCTCCTCCTTCGAAACGATACTCGGCTTCTGGGACATGATGTCCAGGATAGAACCGAGAGCTGGGTTGCTATTAGTCGATGACAAGCGGATTCTTTCGAGGTTGACAAGTGATCGCCGGAGAAGACGAGGTGATGGCGTGAACATGCAAGGTTCGTGGTCAGGGTCCAAGCGTGGCAAGCGACGTCACCAACGCCTGACGCGCCTCGTGCTACGAGGTACAGTACACGGTCAGGTGAGCGCGTTTGATCCGTTGTCCGTGATTGATTGCGCGCTTGCTTGGACTTGACTACCACCTCCTCGGGCTCGCTCTCTACCCTTCTACCTGTGTACAGACTGCACTCCAAACCCATCATCACCCGATAGCGAGCGCAACATGCCCTTGGAGATATCTGGGATCAAAGTCTCTCTCTGCTTGAGCGAGAGCAAGCAAGAGATCCCGGTATTCCAACCGGAGAGAATGAACGCGGGTCTCATCTCGGGATTCGTTCCCAGCGAAGCTGGTCAGGTGCGTGTCATAACTCGATATATAACTCCCGCGTCTGACTGCTTGTGTAGGCGTTCCATGTCACGCTGGTAAATGGACTCCTCTCCGGCGAGAGTGTGGTGTACACCACGTACATCGACGGCCGCAAGATGCAATGCTTCTCCGTGCAGCCCTCCGTGGTGTCAGACATGAAGGGCGTGTACGGCCCTTCAGGGGTGCGCCCTTTTGTATTCTCGCAGTTGCAGCTGAAGGGTGCGCGTGACCCGTCTTCTCGCGAATGATGATGCTCATCGTCCGCGCACAGAGGACGACGGCGAAGCTCCCGCTTTCGATATCTCGAAGCTGGGCGTGATCGAGGTCCAAGTCTGTCGGGCTATCACTACCCACGACGGACAGAATCCGTATAATCGCAAGGACCGTGACGTACAGAGCAGCCTGGGTCCTGTATCCGAGAAGGCGAAGAAGGTCGGCTGGCATAGTGTTTCGTGAGTGCCGTGTTGCCATTATTCCTACCACCCATGTTCACTATGCATTGATAGTCTAGGTGCCGCTCAGCCCACTCACCCGCGAAGACGGGTCAATGCTACATACATCGATCCACTTGCGAGACCATATGCCGTCTTTCGTTTCCGCTACAAGCCACGAGGTATGTCATCCCTAGTGAACTTGTCTATACGATCTGAATGGGCGCAATTGTAGAGCTTCTTGAGGACGAAGGCATTGCTCCGCGCACTGAAAGGCCCACACAGCCGTCTACCGGCGAGAAGCGACCCCGTCCTGAAGACGAAGCGGATTTGCGTCCCGCTGCGAAACGACAGGCTACTGTGAGTGCTCATCTTCGCGCTTCTCTCGGGGTCATCAGTCGACTAAGACCCGAACAGGAGAATGTCAAGCCTGAGCCAAGAGAAGCTTCTGTCGGCGGCTCGCAACCTAAGACGCCGAAGGTCGAGGGCGCTAAGAAGGTCAAGCGTGAGCGCGTTCCCGGCGAGGTCGTTGATCTCACCAATCGCGCACCCTCACCTATTCGTGTACCCGTCAGAGGGGAGGTAATAGACCTTTCCGATGACTGAACGCCGGTGCTTATATACCTAGCTGTCGGTCTCTATTACTTTCTTTGGGATTAGGCACTGCTGCCCTATACCGTACTGTTCTACTATGTCCCGTGCCCACGTCAACTTCGTTCTTCATCTACTCTATCTCACTCTCGTATGCTTTGCTTACTACTCTCTTTACTCGTCTCGTATACTCATAGGCGCATATTGTATCTATACATTGTGTTTCTAGCACGATCTCGTGTCAGATACCCCGCAAATTCAGACGCGAATCACAGTTGTCGGTTTAACTGAGCAACGAGAGTTTAGCCGCGCGCCGGTTACGGCGCCGCAGGCGAGCTTACTGTAACCCGCACCGGAGAGCCCTCCCCGAGGGCAGTAGGCCTCTGTATGCTCACCAGAGTAGCGAGGCGATGAGATAGCCTGGACGTACCATGGCCGCGAGTCCAGGTCGCGACGTCACCGACGCGCCTCATGCTACCGGACGCGCCTCGTGCTAGTAACCACACGGTCATGTGAGCGCGTTTAATCCGTTTTTGTCGAGCGCGCTAATTCCGCGCGCTTTGCTCCTGACGACCACTATCTTCGCGCCTGCTGCTCAGCGCACACCACCACCGATCTCGTATCCGTGTGCTTGTAGCTCATTCCATCATCTATTCCTATCAATAGCTCCGTAGGTGCCCAGGAGCAATGGCTATGAACATCTCAGGCATCACAGTCACCCTTCGCTCGGGTGCGGGAAAAGATATCCCCACATACAAGGCAGAGAAGGTCAACACGGGTATCATCGCGGGTTTTGTGCCTAGTGAAGCAGGAGAGGTGCGTACTTGAAAAGGTTTTGCTTCGTACATCCCTGATACTGGCTTCAGACGTTCGAGATCTGCATAGATAACCAACTCTTCTCCGGCGAGGGCCTTGCGTATGACATTTACATCGACGGCCGTGAAATGCAGAAGTTCTCCTGTCATCCCATGCAGAAATCGATAGTGAAGGGCGTGTATAGCTCTAGTGGTGTTCGCCCGTTCACATTCGCAAAGCTTCAATTGAAAGGTCCGTTGCCTGCGCTGTCCCTGTGAGACGACATTGATTCTGAGAGCGCGTTTTAGAGGACGACGGTCAAGCGCCCTCCTTCGATATATCCCAACTTGGCGTCATCGAAGTCAAAGTCTGCCGAGCCATCGTGAAATACGACGACGTGCGGCCTGCGGTCTTTACGCATCAGCAGTTCAAACCCAACCTAGACCCCGTCTCCGAGAAAGCGAAGAAGGTCGGCTGGCACAGTGTGTCGTGCGTACACTTTGATTCAATTAGTATACGACGTGTGGAGTCTGATTTGGATCCAGTTTGGGCTCAGTCCAGCCTTCTTCTGGTCTACGGAATTCTACTATCGCGGCTATAGACCAGCCCAACAAGCCGTACGCCATCTTTCGTTTCCGATACAAACCGAGAGGTAGGGCGTTTTTGTATGCAGTGTGACATACTCTGATCATGTCTATAATAGAGTTGCTGGAGGACGAAGGCATCGCTCCGCCCAGTGAACGCCCCAAGCAGCCTGTTGCGCCTGTTACGGGCCAGAAACGGTCTCGGCCGGAGGAAAACGCCAACCCAGGACCTAGCGCGAAGCGCACCGCGACCGTGAGTTCACATGCTCCTTCAGGCATCGGAGATTGCCAACTGACGCGTATTGTAGCAGGAGAACGTCAAGCCAGAACCGAGCGCTTCGCAATCGAAGACTCCTAAGGTCGAGGGGGCGAAGAAGTTTGAGAGCGTGAAGAAGGAGGGTGCGAAGAAGGTCAAGCGCGAGCGCCTGGACGGAGAGGTCATTGATCTGACTAACCGCGGGCGCTCACCGATTCGCGTACCGGTCAGAGGAGAGGTCATCGACCTCTCCGATGACTAGACAGTGGTACTCACCCCTTTCACCTTTTTCGTTGTCGGTTTCCTGTTTCGTGTCGTTCCGGTCTACACGCCTCTGTATCATTCTGCACGCATACCCATGTGTAATCCGCTCATCATACTCTATCCGGGCTCTCTACCTTATCTCGTTCTCGCACACAGTTGTTCACATTCTACTATACTCTCCGTATACATATCACCTGCTTATCCGCTGCTACATATTCGCAGCTCCATATCACATTGACCTTGGTATGACTCCGGCTCAACCGATATTGCTCTTTTGACGCTGACCTCGACGTCTTCATAGGTATTGTCAGATCGATACACTTGCTACGGGACGGGCCCCCGTAATCGCAGCGCTTACTCTTTGTGAATAACTCGCGAGCCTCGTGCCACTGAAACGCGATCAGATGAGCGCGTTTGATCGGTTGCTGTATGAGCGCGACTGGCGGCGCCGCGGTTCTCCAACCACTCTAGAGTTTCAACAGATCTCAACCTTTGACCTCCACCCCAACGCCCGCTCGTCTTCTCGCGTACCCCCCTCCCTCTTCCTACTTCTATCACGCCAGGATCACGCATCTGCTCGGCGAGAATGCCCTTGGAACTTCCAGGCCTCAAAGTCTATCTTCGCCCAGCGGATGATGCAGACACGGACGAAGAGGAGATCCCAGTGTTCAAGCCTGATACGGTCAGTTCAAGATTGGTGACTGGGTATGTACCTAGTGAGGCGGGTCAGGTGCGTATGTCTCTACTTCAGTGGCGCGCCTTGCTGATTGTGCCTCTTTGTCAGTCGTTCGAAGTCTGTGTCCACAACGAATTGGAATCAGGCGAGAGCATCGTCTACACCACATACATGGATGGCCGCGAGATGAACCGCTTCTCCGTCAAACCGTTCTTCAGTTCGGTTATGGAAGGCGTGTATAGCGCCGAGGGTGTCCGCCCGTTCACGTTCTCAGCACTTGAATTGAAGGGTATGTTGATGTTGTAGCCACAACTAGTAATCGGTGATGAATGACGAACTTCGTGCTCAGAAGACGACGGCGAAGATCCTTCCTTCGACATCTCGAAGCTCGGCACTATCGAGGTTCAAATCTGCCGCGTCACCATCACGAACGATAGCGTCTTGCCCGTCATCTACCACCACGGTCCCGCACAAGCCAGACTTGATGCCGTCTCCGAGAAGGCGAAGAAGATCGGATGGCATAGTGTCTCGTGCGTATTATTGTGCTGTATGAATATCGGTCGACTGTCTCATTGAAGTTCAGGTTGGGTGATGTGAAGCCGTCGGGGTCCGAGTTGATCGCGGTACAGACGGAGTACATCGACCCGCCATCGAAACCTTATGCTACCTTTCGTTTCCGGTACAAGCCACTTGGTGCGGCGCTACACCCTCTACCCGACTGGACTACATTTCTGACACATGCGATAGAACTGCTCGAAGATGAAGGTGTCGCTCCGCGGGCCGAGCGTCCACAGCTCACGGAGCCTTCGACGGGCGATAAGCGACCTCGCCCCGAAGATGAATCAAAGCCGGGGCCCAAGGCGAAGCGAACGGCAGATGTGAGCAGTTCTGCTCAGGCTGAGTTTGTCTAGTCTGACACTGTGAACAGCAGGAGAACATCAAGCCTGAGCCCACGGATGGCTCTATTGGCGACGCTCATCCCCATACTACGAAGCCGGACGGCGCTAAGCGGGTTAAACGCGAACATGACGAGGTCATAGACCTCACCAACCGCATGCCTTCGCCTATACGTGTTCCAGTCAGAGGCGAACTCATTGACTTGTCCAATGACTAGATCTAGCGCTTCCGCCGCGCAGGACTTGCTTTTGTATACCCTTCCATTCTGATCTCGCGCGTCAACATCTCTACCTGTTGTCGTTTATCCCCACGCGCCATACCCCTGTCACAGTCTATTCCGCATGATTCTCAGTTCTTCGAATAGCCATGTAATAAGCCTATTTCTGTACGCATCCTATCATGTTGTACTCTACTCGCTATCTGCGCACGTCGCTGCGCCACCATACATCCGCAGCTACACTGTAGAGCGTCTCCACTACATCCGCCACCTGAATTATTCTTCTCTTGAAAGCAATAGATAGGCTGGATAAGGGAGTGTGTCTAGACTTATCTCCTTCACGAGCGCCCGCCGCCGAAGCCGCGTAGGCGCTGGCGCCACAGCTGCGTCGACGCGTCCAGCTTCCGATCAAACACGGTCAGGTGAACGCGTTTGATCCGATTCACCTGAGCATCAATCCCAGCTTGTTCGGAGCGGAGTATGCGCTCCTTGCTCTTGACCACCACTTTTGCTATCAAGTTCCCTACTGCGTTCTCGCGTAACCGGTCCCAGCTACTTCCTCACGTCTAGATACGTGACTCTTCTGTGTCTATCCAGCCGGAATGCCCTTGGAGCTACCGGGCTTGGCTGTCTCCCTTCGCTTAGGCGAAGGCGGAGGGAACACATAAATTCCAGTGTTTAAGCCCGAGACGGTTAACCCTCATCTGGTATCCGGCTTTATTTCAAGCGAAGCAGGTCAGGTGAGCATCACGAGACTTCTTAGTGCTCTTCTGAGCTGAAGTCATCCACAGTCGTTTGAGGTATGGGTCGATAATGACCTCGTTTCCGGGGAGGGTATCGCATACACCATATATATGGATGGTCGTGAATTGAATCGATCGGCGTGCCTGCCGTTCGAAAAGACTTACTCGGAGGGAGTGTACAGTGCAGACGGTGTTCGCCCATTCACGTTCTCCAAGCTCCAGCTCAAGGGCACGTTTCCGGGATTGGTCATGATCGACACTATCTGATGAACTCCACGTTTAGAGGACGACGGCGAAGCTCCGTCTTTTGATCTCTCAAAGCTCGGTGTCATCGAGGTCCACGTCTGGCGCGCTATCGTTACCGACAGCTATGACCCCCTCGCGTACGATGACGACCCTGCACAAGCTAGCCTTGACCCTGTGTCAGAGAAGACGAAGAAGGTGGGATGGCATAGTGTTTCGTACGTGCTATAGATAAACCCATTCCTGTGCTTATATCCATGAATCACATAGACTGGGCCTCCCAAAGCCCGCAGACGATGTGCTGTCCTCTCACGTAGAATTCATCGACCCGCCGTCCACGCCATATGCCGTCTTCCGGTTTCTGTACAAGCCCAAAGGTGAAACTCCGCTTGATGGAGAAGACCTGGATAGTATTGCTTACCTCGCATTAGAGCTACTTGAGGATGAAGGCATCGCGCCGCGCAATGATCGGCCGAAATCTTCAGAGCCATCGGTTGGCAGCAAGCGACCTTGGCCTGAAGAGAGTGCGGATACAGGACCCAACGCCAAGCGACCCGCAACTGTGAGAGACGTGTCTCATCGAATGCGCTGCCTGCTGAGGTCCGATGGCCTATCCAATAGGTTGACGTTAAACCAGAGCCGACTGGAGGTTCCCTAGGCGGCTCCCAGTCCAAGGCTCCGAAGGTGAAGGTTGCGAAGATGGTTAAACCTGAGCGTGGCGAGATCATCGATCTCACCAATCGCGGACCCTCGCCTATACGCGTTCCGATGAGCGGTGAAGTAGTTGACCTGTCCGATTATTAGGTCTGAGTGCACGTCTATAAGTTTGATTCTCGTGTACGGACTCTTTTCGATCTCGCTCATCTACTTATTTGTACCACTTATAGCCCATTCCCACGCGTCATACGCCTATCACCCACTCTTCCCAGCCTTTACCACAATTTCTGTCTCAGCCTACTCTTTACATTACAAGCCCACTGTATTTGCTACATCCATCACTTCTCCGCCATCGTACAGCCTATAGTATATACTATACACCGCTTACTATGCACACTGACTGGACCGGAGTTTTTGTTCCAGGTAGCCCTGAACATCGGTCTTCACAGGAACACGATCACCTGAATGGCCTGTGAACGTTGACTACGCGTGTGGCGCCAATCGTCATATCAGCGCTGTTTGGTTCTTGACCACCAGCAACCAGTCTTCGGCGTCCAGTGCGTGCGAAGAGGCTGCGAACGCAACATGCGCGTCACTCCCGACTTGGTCCTTGGCCTGGCAGCCCAAGTTCCTCTGTCATCTCTTGACAGAGCGCAGCAACATGACACCGCATTCGATAACGACTCTACGGTTCATGCAAGCCGCGCGTTCACACCGAAGGACTTGTTGCAACAGCCGACCGTAGGCACGGGCATCCCGAACCCATCTGGGACGCTGCTATTCGTACCCTACAGCCAATTCTCTCTCGATACCGATACGTGAGTACTCACTCTTGTCTCTTCATGGCCCGGCTCTCACGCAATAGAGTCCAGGGCGTCCCATACCTTACACATCCACTCTGTAGACGCCCTGAAACCGCGAGAGTACCTGCACGAGATCATCCTTCCCACTGCTGGTGATGCGTTTTGGTACGACGATTCTACTCTCATCACCACGATACCGGACGCCACGGACCGGACGACGTCCCTGTACGCTTCTTACTTCTCTCAGGATGGTCGTCCTGAGAACGTGGCTTCAACCTCGTCCGGAGTAGGCGAACTTATTGGTGTGCTACCGACAGACAGCGCGGCAAACTTCCACTACTCTTCAGCTTCGCATCATCTGGTCTTCTCGGCGCGGATCTTCGCTGATGGCGATTTGGCTTCTGCTGTGCAACAAGAGCGCGCATGGAAGGGACGCAAAGATTCAGCCAGGGCATATGATGGGCATGACTACCTGCGCTTCTGGGACCAGTACAGCGATCCCAGTCATTCCTCTTTGTTCTCGACGTCGCTGTCTGCATACGGTGGCAGATGGCGACTTGGCGACACGTACGTGAACTTGCTCAACGGAACAGCGCATGTAAGTTATCAAGCTTTCCTACTTGTCTGGCATTCATATTCGTCGATAGAAAACACCACCTTTGGACGGACTTGGCGCCGCGTTTGATGTATGGGGATCACAGGTCGTGTATGTGACCAAAGCTCCCGACCTTCGTGAACCCTTTCACAGCAAGAAGAATGTGAATATGTGTCCCTACTCGCGTCTGTCGCTCACTGATGTCGCGCAGGTTTACCTGATAGACATCGACGGTCGTTCGAGGCCTCGGGAGCTCACGTCAGGCGCCCGTGGAGAGGCTTTCAACCCAGTATTCAGCCCAGACGGGAACCTCATCGCGTGGTTAGAGCAACCTGAGGATGCAGCTGTTGCTAGCAAGTACGTGCTTCTCAGTCTCTCTTGTGAGGTATGAGCTCAAACCCTGCCGATAGACGCTATGTCGTTCTGTACAACATCAAGGCAGAAACACGCCTAAAGCTCTTACAAGAGTGGGATCGCTCACCGGAAGCCATGACTGTTCGTCCTCTCCCCTTCTGTCAGGGTACATCGCTGATTTGCCTTTAGTTCTCAGCGGACTCGACGATGCTATATCTCGAAGCCTTCGACGTGGCTCGCGTCAAAGCCTTCGCCTATCCTCTGTATGATACACCCAGCACTACAGCTCCAGTAGCCCTCACTCGTAACGGACATGCTTCCGGTCTTCAACCTCTTTCCAACGGGCGTTTGATCTACACTCATCGCACCCTGACTAGTCCCGGGAGCATCATTCTACTGAACAACATACACGCCGCTTTGTCCGATATGTCTATGATTACGGCTCGAGAAGTGATGCAGCCATCAGCTTCTTCCTTCACTGCCCCTCACATCTACGCGGCTATGGAGGAGTTCTGGTTCGACGGGTATGCGCGGAAGATACACGGGTTCGTGCTGAAGCCGAGGGGATGGAGTCCTGATACCGCCAACAAGTCCTGGCCAGTCGCGCTACTCATACACGGAGGTGACGCATCTGACCCTTTCTATTGAGCACCGCCGTCTGACACCCTCAAGGTCCGGAAGGAATGTGGGGCGACTCCTGGTCTGTGCCTTTCAACGCGCACGTCTACTCTCAGCGAGGGTATTTTGTCGTCGTCATCAATTTCACAGGCTCATCCTCGTTTGGACAAGGTGCGTACAGCTCTACCCTCTCTGTGCGTGGAGAGCCTTAGCGCTGATGAACTTGATCTAGCATATAGTGAAGCCATATATGGCGATTGGGGAGGAGCGCCTCTTCATGACATCGTGAACGGTCTGAAACACGTTTACGGAGAATACCCGGAGATCGACCCCAAGCGCAGTGTGGCAGTCGGCTTGAGCTACGGCGGCTATATGGTCAACTTGCTCCAAGGCCGCGCGCGCGAGCTGGGTATCGAGTTCGCAGCATTGGCCAGCATGGATGGTATCTTCAGCACAGAGTACCTCGCATACACGATTGATCTGCTTTTCTTCGTGCGTCAATGACACAACAATGTGTCCTTTGTCTTGTGCTGACATTGTTTCTTCGATAGATGCGCAAAGAGTGGCTCGCTTGGCCATGGGAGAATCAAACCGAGTCTACATATGGGAACTTCAGTCCGCACAAGTTCGTGCACAACTGGCAAGTGCCACAGTTGATCATACACGGAGACAAAGACTTCCGCGTGCCCGTCACGGAGGGTATCGCTACCTTCAACGCGTTACAACAGTATGCAGCTACTTCCTCGCCCGCTTGGGGTAGTTAACTAACGTTCGTCAGACGCGGTGTTGAAAGCCGACTCCTCATCTTCGACAACGAACCTCATGTCTTCACGAACCCGCACAATATGTACGTGAATTCACCCATTGATTGCAATTGTCTCTGAACTATAATTGCAGTCTTATCTACTACGAAGAGATCTTTGAGTGGTTTGAGCGCTTTGCGGGGAGCAGGATGAGGGTTCTTTCTTAAGCATATTCCACAGCTACATGCGTACTCGCTATCCTTCTCGATCTCAATCACGGTTCCGTTAGCTATAGGTACTGCCGTCCTCTTTGCGAGGCTCGGCTTCGACCTCAATCAATGCGTGCGGGAACCTCGCGGGCCACTCGGCTCAAGAAGGAGACCGCTCTCCAACAAGTGAGTAATGCTGTGGCAGCCGAGCTTCTTCTGGACGGAGTTGCGTTGGCGTCCAATTGGCGGGTGAACTGAATGATGCTGAGACCGACGACGCTGCCGTGGCCCGCACAATATGTGCGGATGGGAGTGACGAAGAGTGGATGTTGCGGTGGATCAACCGCCCCCAAAGCCGACGCTATTGCGACATAGACGGTGAGTACTCTCCGCTGTTTCTATATGGTGCCCAAGGTACGGCAAGGCTGTTTGGGTGGTTGCCACTGCATAAGATGCAGAACTTCAGATGCGCGTACAACACATCATCCGACCCTGGCGCGGAGTTTGTGTTCCAGCGCGCCGCTAAAATTTGCCACACAGCTTGTTGCCATGATGCCCTACGCGCGGTGCACGTACCATGCGATTTGCCGTACTACGTGAGAAATCTTGGAGCTAAAGAGGGGTGATCAATAACTGGCAGTCATGATCTACGGGTAAGGCGCTAGAAAGTACGAGACAACTTCCTACAAGTTTCCAGGTCAAGCACAAGCGGACATGTGCAAGATATGAGCATTTGGAGATATGTGCCTCTGAAGGACCACCATTCCCGAGTCACCCAAGAGTGAAGGTCACTGTAGATCGTGGAGGCGCGCACTGAGCTCGCACCGCGCCGACTATGTGAGGCCGGAGAGCCGACGATTCGCTGCCCGCGCGTCCAGAAGGCGGCAGAGAGTTTTACCGTTAGAGCGTCGCAGTTCAGCCCACAGGGATCCGGTATCCATACGGGATCCAAAAGAAGAACCTGTCCAGACGCGATGTTGAAGGTCAGAGCCAAGTGCGTCGCCGACCAACTTCTCACGGACTCAGACTCAGAGCGTTACCGGCCTATCACCGCGCTCTGGTCCTTTAATGGATCTGTCAAACTGCCCAACAGATATATCAGAAGCCACTCAAATGTAGAGATGGCACGAATAGCGACACCGATTGTCGCAAAAAAGTATGCCAGAACCGTGGATTGAACACGGGACCTCCAGAACACATGACATCTTCAGTCTGTTGCTCTCCCAGCTGAGCTATTCCGGCAACAGAAGGATGCACATGAGTGTATGTACAATGAGCCAACACGCCTTTTACTGAACTGGCGGAAGCCGCGACCGAGGTTTGTAAGTTACCCACCTTCGTCAGCCACCACCATCAGGCCGTCTGGGCGGCAAAAAAAATCATCTCTCTTCTTCTCACGTTCCACCAGAATAGGATCCCATGCCCTTTGGATGCATCGCGGAGGTTCCTGAACAATGGGGACACTGCCATCGGCCAAGGTCCCTGAAGTTATCCGGCCGGCCAATTCCGCACTCCGTACGGTATCACCATTGCAAGTTATAGAGCATCATTGCGTCTTGCGCGAAGAGAGATCTGGGATTTCAAGCACTCTATTGGCACACTCGCAGTGCCCTCTTGAGGTGCAATTCACGCCATTTTGAGCTTCTCGTGCATCATCTGCGTAGTGCTATCCACTCGCAAGATATGCTACTCGGTCATGTCCAGCCTTGGACGCTCTATTCTTTGAGCAGCACAGAGGCCTTTGTCTGAGCCTGGCGAGTCAGACTCCCGGAAAAGGAGAACTAATCTCCGCATAGCTGTCCAGCTTGCTTTCAACGTAGTCGAGATTCACTTGTGAGCAAACTTTCCGGGGCTCATTACTGTGTAGTAAACGGCAGCTTACCCGTGGCAGATATGGATAGGTTGTTTGCTCCAGACTGGATTTGGAATCAATTGCACCCGCCTTTCGGAGATACTGCTCGTCATCCAGACCTCCAAGACGTCGCCAGCAGGGGGCTGTGTCGAAAGTTCCTCCGACCGGCGACTTGAAGCCTTGCAACCACAAGCCTGATGCAACTTACCAAATAGCTGTATGCTGTTCATTGGTCGTACCTCATGTCATAGCGCAAATTTGCCCAGTCGTCAAGTCATCGCGCTCGCTGGTGGCTTCGTCATTGCGAATTTGTAGAGAGAACCTTAGAGTATAAAACCACGCAGGCCAAAAGCAAGAGCTGCAGTTTCCTATCCTCTACTCATACTCACCCTCGCCTTCAACTGCCCATCTCTCTGTTATTCATCGACATGCAGCCCCACGGTGCTATCGCTTGCCTTCTGGCCTACGCTGCCGCAGCTGGTACTTTCTTTTGTTCCCTATGCCAAGGCATTCGCTCACGATGCTACAGTCATAGCGAAGCCTGTCGCTCATAGCGATGTCACGTCGGCATTCTCGGGTGCAACGACTTCGGCCGTTAGCGCCCCCTCGCCCACCACCTTCACGGTTGGCACTATTACCTCGGTCATCGACGGCGCGACCACGTCCGTTATCACTGGCGCGATCACGTCTGTTATCACTGGCCCTACCACGTCCATCATCGACGGCTCTACGACCTCAGCCATCGTCGCGGCCCCAGTGCCTACGGCCACAACCTATGTTGATGGCGCGACCACCTCGGTCGTCGACGGTGCCACAACTTCGATCATCGTCGGCCCTACAACGTCCGTCATTACTTGCCCGACCACCTCTATCATCAGTGGTGCAACGACCTCAGTCATTGACGGCTCGACCACCTCGGCTATCGTCGCGCAGCCTGTGCCTACTGCCACGACCTATGCCAACGGTGCGACCACCTCGGTGATCGACGGCTCGACCACTTCCGTCATCAACGACGCGGCCACTTCCATAATCGACGGCGCGACTACATCTGTCATCGACGGCTCGACAACCTCCGTCCTTGTTGCACCCCAGGCGGCTACCAGCGGCTTCGCCATCACGTCCGTCATTGGTGCTAGCACTGTCACTTCCGCTGTCGGCGTGTCGGCCACCACAGTTGTTGTCTGAGGGATATCCAATGGCTGCCCTTTGGACTCTTTATGTGGACTCTAGACTTCTCCTGTCTCTTTCATCTGTCGTTTGCGTCGACCTGTCGTTACTTTATCCAGAAAATATGTCCGTATCGAGCGTTCTCGCCTGCTAGTTGACAACGAATATCCTGGCGTGATCTCTTTCTTACTCACCTTTCGTCTCCATCGCCTCGTTTCATTGGGCCGATATATAGTATCTCAGCAATGTCCGCGTAAACAGAACCGCACGCGCATGCATTGCTCAAGAGACAATCGTGAAATCATTTCCACCGTCGACACGGCGCAAGGGAGGTCGTTCGTCTTACGCGGGAGGACTGCACAGGGCGTTATTTTCATCAGCCATAGGTCACATTAGACTGTGATCTGTATCAATTCGCCATTCCATAGAGCATAGTTGAGCTCATTTCCGCATGGAGGGTGAGGGTGAGTTCGGTTCCGAAAGCGCGTCCAGATCAATGCGCTCCCACGGCCCAACGCGCTTCGTCACCTGCGCGGCCCGAACCTGTGAGTCGGACGCGCGTCTTGACCTCAACCTTCACAGCTACACAGCAGCATCTCTAATTCGTTCTGACGATTACTGGTACCATGTGAAGAACCTGGTTCGTCCGGCGCTAACTCCGATTATTGTCGGTGATTATGAGCTTCAGAGAGTCCCCTCGGCATGCCTCGGTTCACACTAAGTTGAAGGTACTGCAAAGAACGCAACTATACGAAAGGGTGATATACCACCGCCGAATAGCGGACGCTGAATAAATCCTTGTGACTTCACTAAGAATACGATGCGCTCGCGACGGGCAAGACCGTATCAGTCGCCGGTATCCCAGACTCGAAGACGACGCTTGACAGAAGCGGAGTTACTATCTCTGCCATAAACTGCTCCCCCTCCCATGCTCCCAATACGTCGATCCTCTGTGCGGAATGAGTGGTCATGTACTTGTTCGATACTCAACCGAATGCGGCACACAACAAAACATGCCTAGATCAGCATGAATGGCATCGTCATGTATAGAAGCTTTACCCCACGGGCACATGTTGTGCTCTACATCGGCGATACGTATTCGAAAGGGGTGGCTCGGCGTACCTGATCTCTTGCGTACGCGGCTTGTTGCCATACGACGGTAACGATTCTACCCGAGCGGCTTCAACAGCCCTCGGTAGTCTTCTGCCAAGGTTATCGACGCAAACTGCACAGGTATTGATCCAGGGTAGGCAAGTAACTTTCACTGGGCTTTTTCGAAATCAATTGGCTGACTCTGCTGTGGTCGCCGCTCAGTGTTGTTTAGTAGAGCACGGTCAGCGAGAGGCTGTGTTGGACATTCCTGGAGCGGCGATTCCAAGCCTTGTATTCACGAGCCTGGCTCGGTTCATCAACTGCAATTGTATTCTGTTTCTTGGCATACATCTCACAGTCCGGAGCTTTCTCCGAGCCTGAGGCTACTGGTGACTGTACCATGCTCAGCGTGCAGACTCCAGATTGTACTCAGTGCATTACTCTCTCTTCTTCTTACCAGCTCGTGCGTTTGATAACTATCCCCATGGAGTGCCCTTGCTTGTCTTATGGCTTATGCCGGCGTCGCTGCTAGTACTTCGCTTTCTTCCTCTCCCATCGATGTGCGCTGACACTTCTTAGTCGTGGCTAGTAAGCCTGTCGCCCTTGAGGCTGCCACTATCGTTGCTCCAAGTGCCATCCCGTGGTCGCTTCCTGATGCAAGTACCTCTGTCATCGGGGCTCCCGAGGCGACCACCGTAGAGGCTAGCCCTACTGCTACACCATCATTGATGCCCCGACGACAAAGGTCGTCGACGGCGCTACCACGTCCGGCCTCGCGGTGACCGAAGTCACAGAGCCTACAAGTGCCCTCAATATTACGAGTGCCGTGGGCGGTGCAACTACGACTGCACTTGCCGTCATTGACGAACCGACCACGAGTGCTATTGCCGCTACGACGATCATTGACGGCGCGGTCACCTCTGTCGTTGACAGTGCGACCACGTCTCTGATCAGTGGCGCGACTGCATGCGTCGTCGATGGCGCGAAGACTTTCGTCCTCGTCGTGCCCGAGGCAGTTAGCAGCGGCTTCGCGAGCACATCGGCGATTGGCACAGGTGCTACCACTTCTGCCGTTAGCGCGTCGGGCACCACAGTGACTGCTTGAGTTGCAACCACGGGTCTTCGAAGAGACTCTGAGTGGCGTCTTTGGAAGGTCCGGTGCTTCTTCTGTCCTTTGCTATGACCTGTCGTTGCTTCATTGAGAACATATGTCCGTGTTGAGCCTTTGCGGCTCACGGTTGACAGCAGATCCCTTGGACACAGCGGTTTAAGCTCGCTCTTCTTGGTCACCTTCATCAGTTGAGTTAACGAAGACCAAGACGATCACGGCGATGTGCGCACCATCTAAGAAGCAACCGATAATCGCGATCGATTCAGCTTCAGTGAGGAACGTGTCCGTCCAGATCTGCAAGGATATGTGGCGTATCACGGCCTTAGGCGAACTCCGCGGCGTATTATGGACAGTTGGGCGCCTCCAGGAACGCCGCGGCGGTCATACTGCAAGCTGCAAGAGTAACTGCGCCTAGAGGTGGATAGTCAGTATGCGGGCGTACACCCTCTACTTGTTCGTAGGCACTTCTGTCCCACCGCGTCTGTCTCGGTCCGGTGATGAATTAAGGCTGCAAGCCTCGTGAACGACATTCGCTTCTCTACAACATCCCTGATGTCCGCCCGCACCACAGGAAGCACGAGGCTGAAGATAACGCCGAGACATCTCATTTTGGATTCGCATACAGACGTTCGGCCACCAAAACATGCAAGATTGAAGCTTGGGGACGCGTATGTATAGAGTGGGGCTCGCATGAGAGGTCGGTTCCGAGCGACTCCATGGTCCGCGGAGAATGATCTTTCTCCGGTGTTCATCGAACGCCTGTCACCGACAGGAGTCGACTCGCGCACTCGAAACGGATTTAAGCATCATGCCCTCCGAACAAGCTGTGGGCGTATGTAATAAGAATAAATGAACAGGTCTCTTTTGAGGTTGTCCGCGCAGATCGTCCGCGTCAGTGTTCAAACGCCCATACCCACGCCGCCATGATCTAAACAACTAGACATTGAGTCAGGTCCAAGGCCGAGAAACCCGTGCGGTAACTCACTGTATGGGTGAGACTGCGGCGCGGACTGGTATCAGCACCCCATAACCATACCGCCATATGAGACGTGGTCGTCGTGGCCCGAAACCAAAGAACGTCCGAGCGAGGCAGTGCCGATGTGTGGCAACCTCGAGAGTTGCACTCGCCGTATATCCAAGTATGTGTAGATTGTGCTTGATCGTTGCCGATATGCAGGCGCGGAACAAAACGTTACAGCACCGTCCGTGAGCATATCGAAAGCGCCGGGATTGTAGGCGGGATGGCTTGGATGCTTTGCGTTGCACCCAGCGCATCGGTGGGATCGGGTCCGATAGGGCTCCGTACCTATATGCGTCTGGCGATGGTGCCCCAGTCGCCCGGCTTGCGCGCATGAATGTCGAGTCAAATCAGAAGCAGGCCTTTATTCGTATGGGAGTACTGGCGTCGATATGTTGTTTCTGACTGAGAGAGCCCCTTGTGCCCCCAGAAAGACACTTGTATCCTCATTCCTGTAGATGCTGGATCAATCCACAGTACTGCAAAAGGAGCGACATGTACAACTCTCACCACGCTGACCTCGATTTTCTCCGATAAGGTCTTGCTTTTGCGCACGTATGCCTGCCTGTCATTGAGCGATGTTGAGTCAGGAGCAAGGTGCAGTTGTAGAAGTTGGAATACCGTTACCTGTTAAGGCAGTAGACGGATATCAATGCTTCAAACAGAGCGTTCTAGAGCCAGCGAGGGCAATGATCTCGAGATAGAGTAGGCGAGGCGCGAATCCAGTCTCCCTGCATCCTGCGCTCTATCGCCTGTAGCACGGGCATACCCTCAAACCGTTCCGCGGGCTCTCCGAGCGCCACACGAGCGCGCCGAGCAAGAGGAGAACAGGCATTTACAGCCGTTTTCAATGAAGTGCGGAATCGCGAATCGCGCCGCGACCTCCCAGAAGGCGTGGGCCAGCGGTAAATGCGCCTCCACGATGGAGCGGGTTCGATTCTCCGTACTCCCACTCAACTGTATGATTTATGCCTCTCTCCTAGGCCTATAAATCTGGGTGAAAAATTCACTTTACTGTTTCGAAGGGTTATTAAACCCACTGTCAAAACAGCTAGGAGGTCTGAGCATGAATACGCTGCCAGTAATACTTCGTCGGGAGCTCGGGATCGAACCCGGGGACGCGTCGGCTCTGGGCCGTGCTTCCGAGGCGCGTCGACGCGATTCGCGTTTCCGCACTTCATTGAAAACGGCTGTAAACCCATACTAGAGAGCAACCGGCAGGCGTAGTCGCCAGTGCTACGTCAATTATGCGTATTGCCTGCCGCGGCAGGACAAGCATATACCAAACCTGGATGAGCGCGTGTACATGAGTTCCCGTGCAGGCCGCGGCATGCCTGAGAGCTTATACTTTCATGGGTGCGGCGTCTAGAGGTCCAGGGACCTAGCTGTGCCGGGAGGGTACCTAGATGTGATGCTTCATGCTTCAAGAGCAAATATAGATACATGCCGACGCTGTTCCGCGGGTAGCCGTACGTCGGATGACTGCAAACTCATTGCTTGTGGTGGCCAAGGTATTGACACGTCGCAAGATGAACGCCTGTTCGGTGCTTGCTGCGGTCATACGCCTGAATGAGCGCGAATGAGCACCGTAAAAGACCCGAGTTGACGAATGGTCAGACGTACGGAGATGTATGGTAGCCGCAGAGTTGGGCCATTTAGGATAGCACTCCTCACGGGAGATGGTCTGCTGTTACTTCTGTGGATATGACTGGCGCACCTTCTGACTCAAGATTGGCAGATGAGGATGTCGCATAACCTGGCGGGTACGCCAGAGTTGCGCCGAGATACTGGCACGTGCCCTGTACGTCGAGTTCTACAGCTGGGTCGCTGAGGATTGGTCAATCGTCCCTTATCTCGCTCCGAATCACCACTAATTCGGGAACAGGCCTCACGCCCTCCCGGAGTCGGTACCAGTTGTACGTATCGGATACTCGACAGGACAGATGCATGCCAATAGCGGTTGCGCTGCCGTCGTACGCGGGATGGTCAAGCCGAACGCGCAGACATACATTCGGAAGGCAGCTACGCTAGCCGCTGGTGATCGCCTGGCTTTGTGGCACGGGAAGTTACGCCGAGGTGCTGGCGCGTCCTGCGCGCTTGTAGACTCGCCGCCTACTGACGCGTCGAGCTACACTTCTCCTGACTCAAGCGCGTGCAATGAGCCCATTCGGAGACTATGCACGGCTATATGCCGCACAATAGAGCGGCAGTAGAACTCGGCCGTGCGGTGAGAAGAAAATGGGGATGCCGGCGGGCATTCAGGAAATGGTACGGCTAGCGATTACGAAGAAGTGACGTCGCATCGCACTCGTACTGCCAGATACCGCCTTCAGCCAGCATGCGCGTGGTCATCCCGGACCGCCGTAAGCGGGCTGATAACCAGGAAGGGTAACGGATGCCACTGTGTGGAGAACGTGGACGACAGCGACTGGAATGTTTGCTCAAGCTGGCTTCGCGGGGTCGAGTGCGCCGGGTTACCGGGATAGCCGTACGATAGCGTTCTCGCGCAAGCCAAAATATGCGTGTGCGTGTCAGCGTGTGTGCGTGCCGGCTGCAAAGGGAGAGAAGTATAACTGAAGTCCACAACCGCGCGGGTGTGGGTGAAGGAGTCAAGAAGCTATAATGGGCGTTTGTGTGCGATTAGCGACACCTGGATCGAGCCAAGCGCGCGGATCCTTGTGTCCCTGAAGCCGTCTGCCGCCGGCTGGCTCAGAATAGGGGCCGCGCCTAGTGCGCCCGATGTCGGATTCGGTTCAGGGTGCTAAGTTATATACCTGCGTTGTCTCGCCGCTTCTACGCGCAGTCTGCCTTTCTCCCTCTTTTCGCTCTACTCATCATGGACGTGGACATGCCAGACGCGTCGAACTCTCAACCAAAACGCAAGAGGCTGGCCAAGGCATGCGATGCTTGTCACAAGAGCAAGCGCCGCTGCGACGGCACTGGTAAGTCTTTGACACTGCCATAAATGTGAACACTGGCTGAGGGGACATCATAGCACCATGCAGCAACTGGTATGTGACTTTGTATTGCTTCACGTTGTGTATTGAAGTGTAGATACAGTTTCTATGCACGAAAAGAGTGCACATACACCGATTCCGCTGGTCGTCCTGTTCCCGCCCCGCGTCTGGGGCCCGGCAGCGCAACTAGCCAGAGCATGCCAGACATTCATCGGCCGCCGTCTCCCTCGCGATCCTCTGCTGGCTCTTCGTCGTCTCACTCGGGCCGGACGCGCCGACCAGCGTACAGCTTCGGTCCGCCGCCGTCCTTGCCGCCCGTCGCCCCGCAAAGCGCTTCTGCTTCGCGCGTCAAGCGGCCCCGCCTCGATCCCCCGCTGCTGTCAGATTTCGTCACTCCGCCGCATCTGGCCCTACCGCCGGCACTCCCCGTACCGCAACCCGACAAACCTAGTGCTTCGCTCGACCCCGCAACAGTGCGCGAACGGGCAGCCATATTCTTTGCGCACATCTATCCTGCTCGTTTGATATTCCATGCGCCATCTTTCAATGCGCGCATGACATCTGGCCAAGTCCCAAAATATCTCTTGCACGCTATCTGTGCGGCTGCGGCACCACTTAGCCCGCACAGGCCTCAGGGTAGCGCCCCTCGCGCGGCGGGGATGGAACACGCTGTGACCGCGCAGGCCATGCTCGTCGAACGTGGGGTACTCAGGGAGGACGTCGGCACCAACGTCGAAGTCGCACAAGCTCTCTGTCTTCTCATGTATCACGAGCACATCACAGCCTTTCCTTGGAAGCCGAGTGTCGATTGCTTTGGTGAGCACTCCCTTTCCTCTTCTGTCCATCTCCACCATTTTTCTTGCGATGACTGGCTCTATTTCCTCCGCTTCATGACGTGCGGGGTCTGCTGGGCGCCTGTATCTGGCGTCTGTGATGTCCGTCAGCCTTAGCGTGCGCGATCGCGAGCATTCGCTCGCGGAAGCTTGATATCCGCTGTCTCCCGCGCAAAGCTTCTTTTCCGATACCCGCGACGTCGGCGCGGGAATATTTGCGAGCGCGACGTAGCGTTTTGCACGTCTGCTCGCAGAATTCTTGCTGGGGAGATCTCCGTTCTCTGGCATACTCAATCTCTTGGGTATACGCTGCCCCATTTCTTCTTCTCTTCGCTAGCCGTGCTTCCGACTTTGTGAATGACCAACGCTAATACCACTTTCCTTTCTCTCGCAGACCTCGCGCAGCAGCTTCTCAACGACCATCTCCTGTGCAACCCCGCACTTTCGTTCATGGACGCCGAGATTGCGAGGCGGTGCGCCTGGTTCATTCGGTTCACGTACATCAACAACCTGCAGAACCACTCGTACGTTCTGTTCCTGTGTTTGGATAAGGCGCACATGCTGATCTATTCCTTTCGACCCTTCTACCCTCTCTACGTATCGCCTTGCCATTATGCGACGATCGACCTGTTTCGCCCACTTCGCGCCGATGCCGTTGACGACACTTGGTCCCGCCCCGCTACGATATGATCCCGACACTAACCCCGCAATCCACTCGTGCATGCCTCCGACACTCGTTCCTCTCGGTACCGAAACTAGTGTGGCGACGCCGCCGCAGCCCGGCCCTGGTCCGCGCGTACCCCTTCCCCAAGATGAAACGTCGTTTGAGATGGAGGTCAACGGCGCTGCGCCAGGTGAGCGTTCTCCCTTGCTGTCCATTGCGCCCTTCGGCTGTCTCCGTACCGGCGCTCTCGAAGCTCCAGGCCTGCGCGCCTACCCTTATTCTCGAATCGGCAGCTTGGCTGCCACATTCTATCGAGCGTGGCGCTTTGTTCGCGGCATCTCGTAGGCGCGCCTGCGGCTTGACTTCCATACCGCGGCAGTGACATGCACCTAAACATGTCGCGATCCTCGGTCGCTTGCCGATGCGGCCCGCTCGCCGCGGCGGCTTTCCTGTTTATGGAAGTCGCGACTCGCGCGCTCACGCGCACTCCCTCGTCGAGCGCTGTCCACGCGCCACTCGCCAATAGCCGTGGTTCGTCGTCGATTCCCGTACCCACGGATTCTCGCGGCTAAGCCCAATCTCGTGGCTTCCCCTCGGATCCGGCTCGCGAGATCCTAGGCTTGCATATATCCCGTTCGGGCAAAGGATGTGGATCGTCTTCTCAAGCGCTGGGGATGGAAAGCAGCGGCTCGTTCCGCGTAAGCGGAGTGGCGGTATAGGCGTCGAGTCGCCGCTAGACACGCGCTCACAATAGTGGGCTTCCTATGCTCGTCCAGTCGGCGCGCATATGCCAGAGCCTCTGAGCTCATTGGATAGCGGTTGACCAGCAGCTGCCTGTTAATGAAGCATGGCTGAGCCTGACTGACATGGGCGTGTACTCGCGGGCACATGCGCTGTGGTTCTTTGTCTCTGCGCCGCTAGATCATCGTATGCGGGTGGGGCTTGCCTGTAAGGCGTGTAGTCGGGGCTGCGCCCGTTTCTATTGCCTACACGCGCCGTTGTATGGTGCTGTAGACGTTCACGCACTGCGCACGAGACCTGGTCGCACGCCACGCCTAATCGCAATGTTCGTACCCGCCGGCATGCGCTGGTACAGTCCTTACCGCCGCCTTCTTTCCTTCTTCGCTTCATCTTCTGTTTGTTCAGAGGACGTCACGCTAACTCTATTACTCTCTTCGTCCGATTCGCAGAGTACATCCACCTCCCGCCGCCCCCGGATAATCAGAGCGAGTTCGCTCATGTCCTGCGCACGGCCGAGACGTACTACTCAATCAATAACGCGGTCAACAAGTACGACTGTGCGTTTGTTACCCTTTCTTGATCCGTTTGATGCCTTCATCGTCGTCTGCCGGGCCTCTGGCCCATGTCTGGAGGCGGGCGCCGTCCATCGGAGGCCGATGGGTTGGGTCGCTCAGCGCGGCCTCGCCAATATGACTGGCCGCCGTGTGCGGGGCCACGCTCAGTCGTGGCGGGAGCAGTTGAATTGCATCCGTTCACAGTCGACGATGCCGCCGCTGTCCGCCCTTTTGAAACGCGCGACCACCGCACAGGGTCGTCTGGCACACACGCCGACCCATCGGCACCATAACCGGCGTCCGCTACTCTGGCTCCGCCCGGGTGCAGAAGGGTGCACATTCAAGTCTGCCTCTGTTTTCGCTTTAGCACAGTGGTCTTCCGAATGATGTAGCTGACGTTGTCCTTGCCTTTTTCAGGCGGCCAGCTCGACCACATGGGCTTACAGACCGCGGTGGATGCCGCCCAGAAGGAGTTGATGGTGAGCATCTACCTCTTTCGCGCTTCCAGGCCCTGCAGTGCTGATTGTTGTCCTACCCTCTTCTTCCTGTCATCGTTGCTTTCTATCACGCGCACTCCGAACGTGACGAACTTGCCATCGATCGTCGAATGACTCCATATGCTCTTCGCCGGCTCGCGCACCGCTCTTCGACTTCTTGATGGATATTGATACTCGAAGGCATGGGAGTCGTCGCTCTCTCCGGTGATGAGGTACAGCCCTGATGTTGTCGACGCACACCTTGCTCTATTCGACACGGGTACCAACAACGCCGCCTGGTGCTTCTTCAACTCGCATACGCTCAACGCATGCTCGTGGCTCGCGGTCGCTGGTGTGAGTTCGAAACCTTCAATCATGCCTTGTACGCACTCTGACGCCTATCTCTCATTCAGTCGCGCACACGGCTGAGGCAGCCGTTCGATGCTCCTTGGGCTCAAGCGCGCGTTGTTGACATCATTCTGAAGCTTGGCCGCCAAGCAACATACAACGTCCTGGGCGTCGACGCACTGAAGTCGCTTGAGAAGCACTGCGAAAAGTCGCGAGTGACTCTGCAGCCGCAGCTCGACATCTTGACACACGAGTTTCAGCGGACGTGGGGAGCGCGTATCCCCATCCGACCTCTCGCGATGGCTCCCGCGCTTGAGCATCAACAATCTCTACCTCCGCCGCGGCTCAGTCCGACTCCTTCAGGACCGAAACCACCAACCAGTGCCATCAGTTCGTTCAGAAGTGATGGTAGGACTCCTGCGAGCGCACCAGTCTCCGCCGGTCCCGCCCAGGCGTCCAATGGCTCGGGCTTCTTCCGTTCCCTCGGCATGGCGTACAGCGGCCTCAGCACGAACGCGAAGGCTAGCGGTAGCACGAGTGCTTCATGGAGTACTCCTTCCTTCGCAGCGGCGGGAGCGGGACGGGCACCTGCGGTCATTGGCGGTCTCGATAGCCTCGGTCTGTTCGAATCCACAGCAGACAGCTTTGCCCCAGGTGGAGAGGAGATGTCGGGCGGTGTGCCGCCTCCTCCTGTAAGCGCGTTCAAGTCGTCGCGTCAACCGCCCCCGCTAATGTCGCAGACCTGGCGGCAGAGCTGGATTGCTCCTGCAGATGCGACACCTGATCTTGCGCCCGCGCCTGCCGCTCGGCCATATCCTGGCGGACCGAGGCCGGCGGATCTACAGCGGCTAAGGATTGATAATAGCAGCGGTAGCGGTAGCGGAGCCGGACCGTCCAGCTCGCTGGGCGATCGGTCGTCATCGGACCCGTGGAGTGCGGACAAGGACAAGGATGAGACGGGGAGCGTCTGCTCGTTGCCGAGTCTCAAAGCTAGTGGGTTGCTCGAGTGCGGCGATGCGCCTCGACGCGTCGTTCCGGTGGCCCCGAGTCCTAGTGCTGGCGCTACATCTGCCAGTGGAATGGGAATGGGCATGCCGCGAGGGATGCCGTGGCTGGATACCCGCGGGCCTCCTAAGGCGTAGCGCTTCTCCCTTCTCTTGCTCGACTGGTGTGGTTTTGGAGCAGAAACGGACTGCTGATTCTTTTGATACCTCGTTTTCGGACCTTTTTATGATTAATTGCTGTACGCCGTGTTTTCGCATTGCACTTTGTAGTCTTCACCTCTATGTAGCCAGGTTCCGTACTTGCCTCGGAGTTTGCGCTTGTTGCCTCTTGCTGGGTTCGTCGTTTTGTCGCTGTAGCACTTTCGTGTCGCGTTGAGGGTAGTATTAATATATCTTGCTAAAACGCAGCTTAATGCGAAACTACCGTTCCTCGTTGACTCTGTCGTGAGATCAGCAGATGCGAAATGCTTTTATCCATCTAGCAAGCATGCCACACACTAGTATCATCCGGAGCAGACTCTCGAATCTCGCCCGGTGCGCCCAAGCTCAAGTCCTGTGACCGCGTTTGATTGGATCAAAGCCGCGCGCAAGCGTCCACCCGCAAGCCGACCTGCGACTTCAACTCGAACCTCGACCACTCCTATGCTAGTTCTTCGGATGCACCTATCATCCATTTCATCCCAGGAACTGGGCTCTGCTGCGAGATTCTGTAGTATGGACGAAAAGCGAGAGCTGGTTATGAGGCTTTGGTGACGCCGGTGCAATAGACAAGGCTGTCAGACGAGCGCGCGCCGAGAGACTTGCGAGTTCTTGCCTGCTCTTGCGAGGAATCCCTTGGCCCTCCTGCTTCATCGTCACAGAACCGCCTCTACGAGCGCCTCCTGAAGTTGTGTGCATCTGAGAGCAAAGGACCGTGTCCCATTCGAGCTGCCACCCTTTACCGCTCGATCCGTTTGCATCTACTCTGCTGGGAGACAGGTCACACGATGTCGATTCCACTGTCAACGTCACGACAAATACCTGCCAGGACTGCGGGGTTGACTCTGAAGATATCAGCTGAACGACAGATAGGTGCATCCTTGTTCTAAGGTCGCACGACTATACGAACCTACTCAGGATCTGCCGCTTCCGGTAAGCGACCGACCATAGTGCATAGAACCTCGCATGACTGATCTCACTCATGTACAGTTACACACTTCTGCCGCTCTATTGCGATAAGGACAGGGAGGAGCGTGCTATGTCCGAAGATTATAGTTCAAGGATATGGGCACCGCGTGGCAACATGGTTCTCGGTTATCGACTTCGCTATCTTTCGATTACGCGCCTGGACGCTCGACCCGCGGAAGAGAAGATGACAGGTCCACAATTGGCTGAACTTCTCAGTCATCGTCTCCCTGAATAAGCCAAGCAGCCTCGACGACGCGTATCAAGTCTACCGTACCGTTCATCATACCCAGCAGCTCGAGGCGCCAATCGAATGAAATTGAACTTCTGCGAGCAAACTCATGTAGAAGGCAGTCCGCGAACGTCCTGTCAACGCTGTTCAGTATATACCTTCGGACGAATGCACGTCAATGCGCTCATTGCGGTCAGCTCAGGGCAGGAGGAGCTCAGATACCTTGACCGATCAACTTAGGGAGCGTCATCCGGACTTGTGAGAATCATACATATAGCAGTTCCTTACACCGGTCGGCCGCTCATCTTCGCTAGGAGTCTCTAGACCCGGCACGATATCCGACGGGACCTCTACGTGAGGTCGCTACGGGTACCTCTATCATCGGCTCTCGATATAGTCGAGCCTCGATGGCCATACAGCCCCAGCGAACCAGAGATGGGTTTTGCACCTTCGCTCGCACATACGGACGCGCCTTCACTTAGGCTTCAAACAAGGCTTGGCCGCTATGCTTATCCTTTATATGGTTATCATCGGATTACCGGCGATCTGTGCCTCGCACGGAGAGAGACGCGTGCGGCGCGTTCTGCAAAGAAACACCGCTGGTCTCTGATAGTGCTCTATAGCTTCGCAGGCGAGTACTTTTGTCACCGGAGAATGACTTTCACTGATGGACAGACGACTGCTAGCTTCTGTAGTCGTACGAAGCATAGGTACAAGGGACGGAGAGCATGAACGCAACAGGGCCATCCAAGTAAGGGCTATCTCATTCACGGCTAACCTCGACTGACTCGCCTTCTCAGTCCAGTACGGCGTACATATCCCGCAAAAGTCCGACTATAAATGCCACTGCAGTAGACACGAAAGAGCTGGGTGTTCTTATGCTCTTGGCCACGCTAGGAGTCATCGCGATGCATGCAGCCTTCCTCCTCTTCATTGCTTCGTTCGCTCGTGCTTCGCCTCTTCATTCCCGCCACATACTCGACCGCCGTGACGCCGCACCTTCTGGGTTCGTCAAGGTCGCCAGAGCACCATCGGACACGACGTTTGAGATCCGCATACAGCTCACGAACTCGGATATCACCGGACTTGAGGACCGGCTCAAGATTGTCAGCAGTCCATCCAGCTCGGAGTACGGCAAATGGCTTACCAGAGAGGAGGTATGCGTACATCTGAAGGCCGTGGGCGTCAGTGCTCACTTGTCTGATACCAGGTTAACGTCTTCGTCGCACCTACACAAGAGTCCCTGAGCGCCATCAACGCCTTTCTCGCTACTCACAACCTTGTGGCCATCCCCGTATCGCCGGCGGGCGACATTGTAGCCGTGAATGTCACCGTGGCGCAGGCCAACTCCCTCTTTGATACGGAGTACTACACCTTCATGTCGACCGACACCGGCGATACGACTGTGCGCACACTCGAGTACTCGATCCCTGCATCGCTCAAGGGACACTTGAGTTACATCCACCCCACCACGATGTATGTGCGCCGATCTCCCACTAAGATGATTCTTATGTTCCGAATAGTTTCCCGACCTTCCAGGCGAAGAGCACTGTGCTGAAAGTTACTCCCCTGAGTTCCGTGACCGATGCGCCGATCCAGACAAGATCCACAGACCCGAAGTACGACTACTGCAAAGAATACATCACACCGGCGTGTATTGAGCACATGTACGGTCTTCCAACCGACCCCGCGACAGCCATTGCCAACGCCAATGATTCTATCACCGTAACGGCCTACGGTGAGCTTCAGAACCATCAATCCTTAGCCATTGTGCTGTTCTGATGCCTTTTCGTAGACTTGGAGTACGTGCAGAAGGATGACCTGAAGGTGCGATGCGCCCGTTCGTTGGTGAATGTGCATGGTCAATTGATCATATGTGCAGATGTTCCTCGAAGAGTTTCGTCCCGATGTAGATCCGGAAACCAGCTACACCGTCAAGGGTATCGCGGGAGCGTTCGATCCTCAAGGTATCGACTACGCCGGAGTCGAGGCTGACCTCGATGTCGAGTATGCTATTGGGCTCGCCACGGACATACCGCTCGACTTCGTGAGCGTGGGCTTCGGCGTCTACAACGATGGAGCTGGTGGTTTCTACGCAACAGCCCAGATTCTTGCCGCGCACAGTGACACATCGCATGTTGTTACGACTTCTTACGGCGGGTGAGTGAATGGTCAGAACGGCGTGTTCCCCTTGCTCATTTGATCCCCCTTAGGAATGAGGACGAACTTACTATCGAAGTCGCGCAGTGAGTCTTCTGTCCCAACGCGTCGTTTTGATGATTGAACAACCATTACAGGGCTCTCTGTAACACCTATCTTCAGCTGTCCGCAATGGGCATCACGGTCATATTCTCCTCCGGAGACGGCGGTGTCTCTGGAGGCCAATCGCAGACGTGCACAACGTTTGTCCCCACATTCCCATCCGGGTGTCCCTAGTGCGTCGCGTCCGCAACTTCTAGCCCTTCGCGTACTGACCAGCCATCAGTGTCCTTTCAGTGGGCGCTACTCAATATAACGGCACAGAGGTTGCGGCGGAGTTCTCCTCCGGAGGGTTCTCCAACATCTTCCCTCGCCCGTGGTACCAGGAGAAGGAGGTCTCTTCATATCTGAAGGACCTCGGCGACACATACACGGGCTTGTACAATGCATCGGGCCGTGGCTTCCCTGACGTTGCTGCCATCGGACACTACGCTGCTATTGCGTACGCCGACGAGTGGGCGCTCGTGGATGGCACATCGGTCTCTGCACCTGTATTCGCGGCGACCATCGCCATCCTCAACGACAAGCTGCTCGCAGCGGGCAAACCGACACTGGGCTTCATCCAACCGCTGTTGTACGAGAACCCTCACGCCCTCACTGACATCAAGTACGGCAATAACCCGGGTTGCGACACTGTACGTGCTTGCTGTTCCTCATATTGCGCACTGGATACTCGACTGACAGGCGGATAAGGATGGTTTCTCCGCGAGCAGTGGTTGGGACCCCGTACGTACCCGGGCATCTGCGTGTCCCGAACACCCCTCTGATGCTTACCCCTAGGTGACGGGCCTCGGTGTGCCCGACTTCGACAGCATGATGAAGGCCATTGGCTTCCATAAATAGATCATTGCGCTTCTTGAGTCGCATTTGTACCTTGTGCATGAACTCTCATTGGGTCTTACGTCGTTTCAATACTATACTGGAGATGCATATAGGCGTGGCATGTACCGTACAAGGGGCCTCTCTGTACGATGCCTATGCCTAATGCGAGAGTGGTCTCGTACCTGTAGAGAGTAATGGACCTTGTCCATGTTCTCCAGCTGCTCTTGTGATGCCTGACTGAATTAGGGGAATTATGCCGCTTTCGTGCAGGCAAGATGGGGATTCACGCCTGGAAAGGTGCAGGATCCTTTTTGAGGCGACTTTGTCGTTATTGCATCGTTCAGGCGGAAAACGTTCCGCACTGACCCAGACAAAGCGGTTCAGGCGCGGTTTATGGGAGCGAACAAGCTTCCAATGTCCCTTTTCACGATGCGAGCACTATAGATGCACAAGAACGATCCGATACGTATTGGACGGTGCCTCCCACGCCAGGCGCAACGGGTGAAGGGTAGGCCGGCCAGCCTTCGGATGCGAGGGCATATCCTTCAAATACAGCACATCCTATATTAGTGGTGGTTAAACGAGACTACTCGTCGCTTAAACGTAGTGTGGTCCGTGTGCATTCACAGAATAGAAGACAAAACATCTGACGCAGCCAGGACATCCGTTGCTGCCTTGAACTCGGGTGCACGAGTGACCATGAGGAGGCCAACTAAACGTGGTTCAGTTACCGTACGAGTCAACTGAGTTGATTTACACACCGATGAGGCCGAAAAGGCCCAGGATACTGCCGAAGACCTCGACAATGAGGATCTTGACGAACAAGGAGGGGTCCGCCGCATCACCAAGGGCAGCGGTTGAACCCGTAATGCCGACGGAGACACCGCACATCAGGTTGCAGATGCCGACCGTGAGGCCACCCCAGAACATGGCGTATCCTGTTGACAATTAAGTACGACCCACCCGACGGCCTCGAGGCCAGGTTCAACATACCGGTGAAGTAGTTCTCCCGCGTATAGAGCGCCGTTTCGGGGATTGAATCGAGTTTTGCGGAGTACACAATTCCCATGATCTAAACATCCCAGATTCGTCATACACGCACGTCTCGCATACGAACCATGAATACGCGTACCACTCCGTAAATCGCCACAACCTCACAAAAGATGATACTAGTAGTGTTCAGTACAGATTCATGGACTTATATAAGTCACAAGTACCTGATGAGGTTCTTAGTACGGATACGGGGTGTCCGTACACCGCCTCCGAGGATGGATGAGCCGGTGATGAATATTCCCCTGCGGACAATGAGTTTCTTCCTGAATAAGACTCCAAGTCACGCACCATCCTGCACCCAGCACACTGAATCCGATGCAAAGTCCAATCCCCGAAGACGCCCAGACGTATGGACTCGACTCCTCCAGGAAACGGCCGATGTTAAACGCCTCACCCGAACCTAGCGTATATACGTCAATATCAGTTCAGCCTATGTGCAGTATCGGACTTGCCAGTGAATAGCAGATATAATGCGACTACAACAGCAGCAAATGAGGGTAGCCCGAGAGTGTAGTACGTTGCAACGCCCATGGTGATCGTGGTTGAGCGGGAAGGCGGACAGCGCTTGACGCGGTCACTCGCGGCGCGCGCGCTCCGAACCCACGCGCGCCACTGCAACTTGGACATGTACCACCTCCTCAAAGGTCTCCATGAATATCTTACAAGGTGCCGAAAGTTCAATGAGTGGTACTGGTAACATATGGTGACGTCTCTGACAGAAAGGAGGAATTCTCTGTCATCATCATCGGTCTCGACGGTGCAGGCAAGACGGTTAGTGTCTGTGGATGTTTATCCTGGGTGAATTCATGAACCGTAATACTGGCAACAGACACTACTTGAGAAGATAAAGACGCTCTACAATGATACACCTGGTCTACCTCCTGACAAGATTGCACCGACTGTTGGCCAGAACAGTACGTGTTTGCGGCCCGCTTGTGCCGAGTGGCTCCAGTTTGAACACTGGACCAGCTGGAAAGATCACTCTGCCTTCAACCATCTTGCAATTCTGGGATCTTGGCGGACAACGTGGTATTCGCTCCATCTGGCCACGCTACTACGACGACTGCCATGCCGTCGCCTTCGTGATTGACGCAGAAGACAGGGAGCGACTCGGTGAGGGGTGGGACGTCTTCGGTATGTCACCATATGGTCCCCAGGTCACCGTCAAGGCTCATGCTCGAAGGAGAAAGATAGCGTTCTTTCCGCGCCCCAGATCCTCGGAGTTCCTCTCTTGCTTCTCGCCAACAAGCAGGATTCACCGCACAGTCTTAGCGTGGAGGAGATTCGCCAAGACTACGAGGCATGGCACCAACGAAAGATTGAGAGCGCCCGGCGCGGGTATGGCGGCTCTGCGGACGAACATGAAGTTAGGCGAGAGCGTATAGCCAGCCTCGATGTCATGGGCATCTCTGCCCTTGCAGGGTGCAGCGGTTTACATCACCTGTCAGATGAATTGCTGACATGTTGTTTCGCGCAGGACCGGCGTCAGTGAAGCCGTTGATTGGCTATTTGTGCGCGTACAGAACAGCAAGAGAAAGTACGTTCATTCATTATGCGCGTCATGACGCCATTGAACTCATGGATGTGGCGTAGGGACGAGCAGTAGAAGTTATGCCGATCGCTTAGACCCATGGACCCCATCGATCCCGCAAGGTCCCCTTCAATGTCTTCGTCGGTAGCTTGATCGTCACGATTACACAAGAGAGCGTCCATCTTGATTTTCCAGCTCCCCAGCGATCATAGATAGAGCGGTCCAGCGCCCACGTCAAGACCCTCGCAGCCTGTATATCTTTCTCGTAAGGTTTCTATGGTGTGCGGGCCCCGTACGCCCATGCGCACGAGCCGGTCCGCGCGATGCGCCCCTCGGCCACTCCTTCGGCCACTATAACGGCCCCTCGTAACTCTCGTACAGCGCTGCTGAGCTTCCGAGGAAGGCGGGCTTCTTTCGTGGAGAACTCGTGCTGATGCTGCTGCGAACACAGGTTAGAAGCTCGTCTGCCATGACCACCGGGTTTGATCGTTCGTGTTGTGTCAAGGCTTAGGCTTCTTGATCACCGGGAGGTTTGGCTGCTGTTCGAACGTTCACCAGAGCTCACCGTCTTGTCCGCCGTGGACTTCTGAAAGTCAATCGAGCCTTATACGTGTACTTGAAACCCGAGGCCCCGGGCTTCCCAAGCCAGTCAAGCAGACACTTGCTGATACATCGATGGCAGTAGCCAGCTTCGTCAGTCGTACTATGCCCCGTTGTGGACTACTGTATCCGACCGGGTTGTGCCGACGTGTCATGCCGAAGCTCGCGTTGCCATCTTGGGCTGCGTCAAGCTTGAGGCCAGTCGAGCCACGCGTTGTCACGCACGCGATATATCGCATTCTAACAGCGTGAAGTGGTGATATCCATTCCTTGTGAGTCCCCGTTAATCTTAGCCTATTGATCATACGAATTCAACTTGTAAGCTAATGTTGCATTGCCGCCTACAGTGCCAACTGCGCGGCCACCTTGTTGCATGGGAGAGTCCGCCGTCCGCCAATCATCTAATCAAGGATCACTGATAGGGCCTAAGGAACCGGAAGTACATGGCGTCTGTTCACCGTATGAGGCAGTAAGGTACTGGCCATCTGGCACCATGAGCAGTAGAAGCACTTCGACCCGGCCACTCCATCGTGCGAATTTATCGATTATGCCACGTCCGCTTTGTCAGTCCATACAATTCAGACGGAAACGCGCCTGCTGGCCGTCGGGTCGCCGAAAGTTAAAACGGCCATGATGCCCAGCTTCCTCGGACTATTTTCTATGCGGTGTCTCTTTTACGAAATCGTTGCTGTAATACTACACGAGTAGTACACAACTGCCTGTCGGAGGCTCTACAATGAGCAGTTGCAGTGCCGCACATCTCCACGCCCGCCAGTCTGAAGGCACGTTTTCTCAATATCGGACTGTGCAGATCCTCCGCCGCTCCGAGGACCTAAGCACCTATGTTGGGTCAAGTGCCTTTTCACGTCGGTTGTGTGTACCGGTTGTGAAGGGGGATTTGGACACTTTTGTAGTAAAGTACGTGCTCCGCAGGCCGGCAAGAAGCGAAGTAGAAGTTATCAAGCGCAATCGCGCCGGACTCTGGGAGGGCAGCTCAGGTCGCCGAAATCAGAGCCTGATGGGCAGCAAATGGACTGCGTTTCTGCCGGCCTGGATTTTTACCCGAGCGCTTCACGAGCACCTGCTGCCCCCCATATTGAAAGAGCGACTCTTCTAAAACCATAACGGACAGCACCCACACCGACACAGTCCTCACCAGACCTCTCCTTCGTGGACCCGACAGCTCGCAGCCGTTGGCGCGCTCAGAATTTGCTTCCGGACCCGTGTCTCAAATACTCTCGGCCAACATGTCATCGTCAGCGCCCCGACAGGCTCAGTTGCCGCTAGACTTTGTGATTGTCGGAGCGAGTGCGTGCCACTAGTCTCTTGCGCTCATGATCCCGCACATTCCGAGTCTGACCTATGATGCACCGCTACAGGTATCTCCGGTCTACTTACCGCGTTCGGCCTTGCGCGCTCGGGACATCGCGTGCGCGTCTTTGAGAAGGCACCCGAGATCATTCGACATGGCAGCGGAGTGCGGCTCGCACCCAACTCAATGAATTCGTTGAAGCGTTGGGGGTTCGAAGCACAGATCAGGAAGTACGGATCACCAGTGCAAGGCACTCTATTCATGAACAGTGCGTATCACGTTCCTGCGGCGTCAACACTTTCTCACGGTTGCGCTCTCCCTCCTTCGCAGTGGAGGACGGGAAGGAGATCGGATATACGGAATGGGCAGACGATCTCGTTAAGGAGAGCGGATCGGTATGGTGTGCCATCAGCGTGCGTTCCGACCTCTTTGCCGCCCGTCTTTTCCCGCCTTCTCAACGCTTCCTCCTCCCACACAGTACACGGACTTCATTCGGATTCTCTACGAAGCAGCTGCAAGCGTCGGTGTGAAATTCTACACGAGTGCCCCGGTCGCGTCTGTCACCCCGCCAGAAGAGGATGCTGAAAATCAGCGACCTTTTATCACTCTTGAGGACGGGCGAACGTTCGATGGCGATATCGTCGTCGGATGCGATGGTGCATACAGTGTCGTGCGGCGTGTTGTGGAGGATCCGGATGAGCCGACAGAGCCGCAACATACGGGTCTCATCAGCTTCGCGGGTGATGTCCCCATGGAGGAGATCGCGAAGGACCCTTACCTGAAGAAGGACGACATCATCAACGGCATGCCCTTCTGGGCAACTACCAACGGTGCGCTCCGAGGTAAGCCGTTTAACTTCCGTCTTCTCCCGCAACTTCCTGATCTTCGTCCCCAGGGAACCCGCATGTAGGCGTTGGTGTTGTCTGTTTACAGAGTGTTAATCTCATCTGACATGATCCCAGACCGATGGCAAGCACTATATGTTCCACTTGTTCTGGAAGGAAGACATGGACGTCGAAACGACCTGGGAACCTGTTGTGCCTACGGACTCGTTGACCATCACAAAAGCGCCCGGCCTTCATCAATCGTGGGTTCCAAGTCCTCTCGCTGGTTCATGCTTTTGACAGTGAGCGATCACAGTGTCCAACGCTTGGTAAAGCTCGCGCCAAAAGTGTCCGTCAAGCGCTGGGACAAGTGGCCAGAGGTTGAGGACTGGGTCGATTACTCCGAAACGGTGGTGCTAGTCGGCGAGGCGGCTCATCCCGACTCCGTGGTATTTGCCATGGCAACCTCTCGCATTTCACACGTCCTAACGGTAGACATTGTAGCCCTTTGGTTATCAGAACGCAGGCAACCCTGTGGAGAGCGCAACTGTGTTCGCAACACTCTTCTCTTACCTCCGCACCCGATCTCAAATATCAACGTTCTTGCACGCATACGAGGACTTGCGGCATAAACGTGCCAGGGAGTTCGTCGCTGGGGAGAGCGAGACTGCCCAGCTCTTCTTCCTGCCTCCAGGACCAGAGCGTGACCGTCGTGACAAGCAGATGGCGGGAACGTTGCAGATGCGCGGGCAGACAGGATGGGACTACGAGTTCTTGGAACAGCAATGGAACGGTATTAGCCACGTCTGGACGTACAACGGCGTCGATGCAGCGGAGTCGTGGTGGGTGGAGTGGGGAATTTGTGAGTCTCTTCATCTGTTTCTCTACTCCTCACATTCTGAGACGTATTTCAGTGGCCGAGCGTGCACAGCTCTCCAACGCCGAGTCCAACGGCAATGGCTCTTCTATCCGCTTCGATACCCTCGACATCAACGTAAGCGCAGTAGACCACGAGTGAATACAACCACATCATGCCAGCCCGCTTCATCTAGCCCATAGACTCATCTCATCACTTTGCTTTCCTTACATGTACTGGAACGTACCCGCACGGATTCATCACCTCGCTATCGTATACACTGCCGCTCTCGACTCATACATTCCCGGATAAAACTCACCCTCATTGTGCCATGCTTTCGCTACGTCTCATGCCATCACACACCATTCCATAGCTTTGGCTTGCTACGTTGAATGAACATGTGTTGTGTCGCTAGTTACTCAAACTGCACAAACGGTGGAACCCGTACTCATAATAATTATTAATGGCAGGCGCTGCCGGTTTCATTGAGTGGGTCGTATTCTCAATAAGGGGATCCGTCCCTCATCATCGCAGGCACTCACGTGCACTTGGATCTTATACGGAGTAAGATCTTCTTCAAATGTCTCGTACTTCGACGTGTATGTGATGCGATGGCGATCCTTGAGAGGCAAGCGCAAGAAGATTGTGGCGGCTCTGGCGAACGCGCCGAGAACGCGAGCACGTGCCATTGATCAAGCACGCGTCATATATACGCGGGAACGCGTCTGTTTCCAGCGCTTTCTACACGCAGTCGTCCTTGGTTTCGAACCACCAACTACACATCTCCCCACATCTCCCGTTCCCCTTCCAGATAGAGCATCGACCATGTCATCCGATCTATACGAACAGCTCGGTATTGCCCACGACGCATCGCCGGAACAAGGTGTGTAGCTTGACATGATTCTGGACCTGTTTATCTGAATAACAAATATCAGTGAAGAGAGCCTATAAGAAACGGGCTTTACAAACGCACCCAGATAGGCTTCCCCAGGGTGCGTCGCAATCGGAGAAGGAACGAGCGGCAGAGGAATTCCGCAAGGTGTGCTAGTACGATCGTCATTGTATGCGCCACTGGCTTACCCCGTGCCCAGGTGAATAATGCGTATGAGGTACTGAGCGACCAAGAGAAACGCGGGGTATGTGAGCATTTCACTTGTTTACAGGACTTCAGTCTGACATGTACTAGGTGTATGATCGCCATGGGGTGTGGCCGCCGCCCACAGAAGCGCCGCAAACAGCCCCATCATATAGCTCGAGTAGCCGCCCGTTTGCCGCGGGTGGCGACCCATTCTTCAGTACTGGTCCTCATATATTCTTCAACATGGGGGGTGGTGGCGCCTCGTTCTTCGGGCCAGGGTTCTCGGATCCCTTCCGTATCTTTGAGGAGGTCTTTGGCAGCCGTCATTTCCCCGCCGGATTTGAGGATGACTTCCCAACTCGTGGTCGAAGACAAGGTTCATTAGATCCATTTGGGGGTATATTTGGTCCCAGTGGAATGTCTATGGGATTCGGTGGCGGCGGTTTCCCCATGTTCAGCAGTGGATCTGGCAGTCAGCGCATCGTGTTCTCAAGCTCGAGCTCGAGCTCCGGCTCCGGCTTCGGCAGCGGTTGGGTCTCGGAGTCACACTCATCGCGGACCATCAATGGTCGCACAGAGAGTGTGACGAAACGAACCGATGCGCAAGGGAACGAGTACGCTACCTATACCTCTTCTGATGGGACCGTCCGCCACACCTTGAACGGCGCGCCACACGACGGGTCGACGCCTCGGGCTATCGCAGAGGGGCCGAGTAGGCGCTCATCCAGTCGTCGCGGCTCGTCTCGCGATCTGCCTCCTCCACCTGTTGCACCCCGACCTCCTCCGCACACTGCGTACCAGCCCCCTCCTGGCCCACCCCCGCCCCCCGTACAACGAGCACGCTATGACTCCCCGCCTCCCATGAG